AACATTAGACATCCAACAATAACAACATTACGTAAAAATAATAAATTACAAATTTTTCTTTACAAACTCAACTTCCACAGCAACAATTTTTACAATGTTAACAAATAGTGTGCACTAAAGATTTCCATTTATTGCTATTGAAATGGAAAGTACAATCGAATGTAAAATTTATGTTAAATTAACGATAATTTTATCCAGAAAACAGGGATTAATAAATGTCATGTTTTGCGTGAAATGTCAATAGAAAATGATGAGTACACGCCGAGGCATCATTCAAAGAAACACACCATGTACTTTTCCAAAGAATTCAAATATTCCTTAGAAAATCATTCTCATAAATAAGATCAGAAAACTTATCTTCAATTATAATTTTTAACTATCCATTTACAATAATAATATTTTCTTCACATCTTTTTCAATATATTTTTAGTACAAAAACATTTGCTTACAGAAATTTTTAACACATGAATGAAGAATAAAGAGTACAGAATAAAGAATAAATAAATACAAAAAACTAAAAATAAATTCGAGAGGATATTTATCGTTTTTAATCTTCTTTACATCAGACACAAGACGAGTATTGCGTATAGAAAACGTCGCTTGCAATGATTTTTCTTTTACAACAATTTTTCAAAGACAAATGAAAACTTGATGATAGTTATGATTCAAGTTATGTATTTATTTATGACAGGTGAATTATTGCAATAATATATTGAAAGAAACTTATCTGGAACGTTCTAAGTTCAATCAACCCGAGAGAAATGGTTGTGTGCACGTGATGCAATAATGCATATGGACAAGATCATGGGTCTGATTTGCCATAATAGCCATCCAACAAGAATCGAAAATTCTTTTCAAATATTACGAAGGAGAAGAAAATTATAACCCAAAAGTCAAACCTACTCTTCCAATACTCAGCTGCCCTGTAATTTTTATACTCCAATTTTCAAACCACAATTGACAAATGAGTCCGATGCAAAAAATAATAAAAGAAGATCATTATTTATTCTTTTTTTCGGAAATAAAAAATGTATTTTTAAGAGAAAAGAAAAGAAAGAGAAGAAAGAGAAGAAAGAGAAGAAAGACAGCATAAAAAAGTTTACACAATCGCAACATGAATGAAGAAAAAATAGTACAACGCAATTATTCCCTTTCAATAAAGGCTACCAATAATTTTTATAAAATTCAATAACCCTCAATCAAAAATCCATCAACATGCTAACGATAACAATGTAAATATTATTTCCCAAAAGGAATAAATACACAATGACAATTTAATGGATTTTTGTGGTAATCCAGAAACGATCAATTATAAAACTCGATGCATTATTTGATTAAGCCAAATGAAAGATTTTCCATCATCAATGGCAGCGACAAAAATTATATGTAATAAGGTACTTAAAACGAATGAATCATTGGATTACGCTTTCAACGACGGCTCATGAATCTAAATGAATTCGATAATATTTGTAATAAATTAAAAACGAAGAAGCTACTTAAAAAAATGGCATACGTGGATTAAAATTAAAAACGAAACCATGTTCAAAAACCCGCATCTTTTTTTTCAGCAAACAAAAGATACAATACAATAAAATTTTTAATCCCAACCTAAAATTAACGATAAAACTTATAAATAAAGCACAAATCATGAAAAACGAAGTACCAATCATATAAACGAAACATACCAAACGAGAAAATAAAACTCAACTATAATTTACAAAAAAAAGAGACCGATCATCATGCTCTGAATAACAAACCATAACGATAGCGTGATCATTTCGCGTATGAAATTCAATCACTTTGATTAAATTAGTACAATTAATTAAAACAAAACCATTAATTAGTCCTTCCTCGATAATTTTCTGAATATTAGGAATTAAGACAAGGTCACAAATATGCGTTTTCTAAACAGTAGAAAATCACAACAGTAACAGAAAAACGACTTACAATATACAAACAAAATAATGATCCTAATACATTAGGTTAAATATTCATTATCATTTATAACAATCAGTCATAAAAACTTAAAAATCTCAATTAAGAGACTAATTAGAAAATTGCACAATGAAAATAATTAGAACACTTAACCGCAGGAGAAAATACAAATATTGAATCGGAATTGCCTTTAAGCATTCTCTATCGAAATTGCTTAACAACTTCTCAGAATCAACTGCATATTTGAAATTTACTGAATTATTTTGACATTGTTCCATTTAAATTGCAACCAATTTTTGTATACAAAATGGAATTTCGATTACGAGTCTTAATCATCATAAAAAATTTTGTTTCTAAAACAGGAAAGCATAAAAATTCTTTAAAAGTCCGAAAATTCTTAAAATCAATCTATTTTCTGTTTAAGGTCCTAAAACAAAAAAAAAATGTTCATTTTAAATTCTGCCATATAATTAAAAATTGGCAAAATTTTATTATACATAAAAATACGATTATAAATGTAATAAAAATTCGGTTAAATAAAAATTCCCAAAGAAGTCCAAAAAAAATATCCTCAAGTTTTGAGTGTTCAAATGAAATTTCCGCTTTATGAAAATAAGAACTCAAACCCCATATTTATAACCTGAGATAAACAAAAATACATTAAATTTAGAATAATTTATGCGTTGCAAACAAAATTTTTTAAGTCAAAGGTAAATATTGTTTCTAAATAAAAAAAAACCCAACCACTTTAGTCGCACAAAAGGTCAACAATCCGCAAGAGGAAAAATAAGATGTTTTAACTTTCCGCGCTCGCGATTTGCAACGCGAAGAATCTACAAGCAGCTAATCAAGGCAAATGAATACATTGATAACTGCTTGCCGTGAGTTGTAAATGTCCCTGAAGCAAAAGATTAAAGCTCCGTTTAAAAAAATACCATTTTCCTACAATCCTCTTAATTATGTAAATTTTCTATTTAAAAAAAAATCTGCATTGGAAAGTTCCACGCGAGAAACACTAAATATATATTTTTCTTTCATAACTTTAATATTACACAAGACTTAAATGCCGGTTTTAAAAAACTTAATAATCACCAACACAACACAAATTATAAACTAAATTTTTTAAACCACAGCATTCGAATTTTAAATCCTTTTCAAAAAAAGAAAAATTCTTTCTTTTGGTTCAAATAAAAAAATCTATTTCAATACACACGTATTCCACTTTAGTGGAGTCCCCTCTTAATCGCAGTAAAAAGTCCACTAAATCGGAGTTGCTATGTATTCAAAAAATTATTTGAATCTAATTGACGATTTTTCAATCAAGAAAGGAATATTTATCAGAAGAGAAAAGCAGTAGACAAAGACTTTGTTTACCGAAAAGAAACTTTTACTTTGCAAATTAAAAAACATGTGACACGTAAAAATATCCAAGAGAGACTTCTCTCTCTCGTCTTTGCAAGTTACCATGTTTCAGGGCCAAGAAAGTTGCGAGCATAAAAAAGTTAAAATGTTATGATCGTGGCTAGTGTAAGTTTGCCTGACTAAAGGTGCTCTCGATTACAGAAATCGGTTCTGAGAAAATACACACTCTCATAAAATGGCTACCTGCAAAAAAAATGCATCACTTTACTCGCAACAACGTTAATCTTTTGCTTCCTCATGTAAATTTTAATAATACGAGAAAGTATCGAAATTCAAACTATCACTTGGATGCATTAATTCGAAAAATCAAAAAATTGAAAAATCACCAAAAAAATACAAAGATGGACAGAAAAAAAAATTCGCCATATATAGAAAAATATATAAATATATTTGTATATTTTTTTACTGTATATATACTTGTAATTAACACGTGTCTGTATCTGTAGTTAATTGCAACTAACGATAAAAATATTTTTGTTGTTCAAGAAAATTGTTTACAACCTCTTCCGTTATTTTTTCGACGAATCTAACGTTCCATAGTTATAAATTTTTTAAAAGATTATTAAAACTTGTTTACATGAAGATATATATGACAATGAGAATGAAAAAACGAAACATTATATAAAAATTTATGGAAGCTGAACTAAGAAGAACAATAAAATTTAGTAAATCATTTCGAAGGTTGAGTTACAATGCAAAAAAAACGAACATTTGTCAGTTTTTTAGTTATCACTCATCACAATCTTAAGTTCAAATTGTCTTTTAAAAGTTAAACTATCCTTGTGCACTTGAAGGTTAAATATAACATCAAAATGTAATAATTTTTAAAAAAACATTTTTTTATTTTCGCAAATTTTAAAAACCTTGAATTGAGAGGAAGTAGAGAAAAAAAGTTACATTTATCTGAATTTAATATTAATGTCTAAAATTTTAGTACCTAATCGATTGAAATTTCGTTAGTTTCAAACACAAGAGATTTTTAAATTTCATATTATATTTATATAATTCAATGGAAACTCTTCATTGCATTTTCATGAATTTTTCATGTGAACCTTCAAGTCAAAGTATATTATATTCTTCAAGTAACTTTCTTCTATTACCAAATTTAGAAATCACATAGAAACTCCATAGAGAAAGCGATAAAGTAATTCTTTCAAAATGTATAGGTACAGAATTCAAAAATAATTTTTTTTAAATTTCCGATTAAGAAGAGGGGATATTATTTGGTTCCGAACATCGAAATTAATGCGCCTGAAGATCAGAACGTTCAAATGAATCAAATATATTTCTTCCTTAAATTAAAATTTTTACTATTATAATTTTTGTGGTACGTATAAAAAATTCAGATTAATTTATTAAAATACCAAATAAAATTTTTCAAAATCCTAAATTTAGTTTAACATTTATTGCGGGTGGTAATTTATAAAAATATTTCTAATAAAAAACATTTCGTTCTCGAAATCGAAAAAAAACGGTTTATGAATAATATTTCAATAACTGAATAAAGTCGAAAACAATTATTTTTCGCGTTTAATAATTCTATCCTTGATGGATCTACACTTAGTGCTACATATAAATAAACGCTAATTATTTAGCAAGAGTCAATAACAATAAAAAAAATAGTTAAATCAATTAGAACTCACCGTCTTCCTCAAGTTCTCCAGGAAGATAAGATTGTAATTGATGAAGATGAGCATGATAGTGATGATGGTGCAGAATGCACTCGAGGTCAGTGCAGTTTAGCATTGTATCAAACAATTGTCGTCGAAAATATTTCCCAAAAGAATCTTCACAAACTATTTTTCATATCACATTAAAATAACGAGCTTTTTTAAAACTAAAATCAAAAAGAAAATTTCCACTTGACCATTAAATGTATTGAGGTATAATTATATCAAAAAAATTCTAATTCTATAATTCTGCAGCTATTAATCTTCATGTTGTTTGGTCAATAATTGCCAACTCTCTTTATCTTCATAACGACTGTAGTATTTCTTTTTCTTCTCAAACTTTTGATCAGCATCAAAGAAACATGAAAAATAATGCACTTCTTTGAAAATCTAGTTTTCTCTCGAAAACTATATAAAGTGACAATACGTTCTTAGAAAAGTAACAAGAAAATTAATATACACTTCTTCGAAAGTGAAATGCTCTTTGGAAAATGAATTGATTTCAATTCTTATGTTATAAGACGACTGACAATACGTGACAAACATCAGACTCTCGAGAATACTTTTTCTTTTTTTTCTTTTTAATTAAAGCTCCAAGTACTATTAAGCTCGTTTTATCCGAATGTGTTTTTGTTACAGATGACACTACAACATCCATGAACATCTATTATAATATCCAAGTGTTCACAAACTAATCAACCCATTTTTCGATCGTCCACCAATCTTTCACATAGTTCCTTTTCGATAAAAACTGATATTTACACAAAAAAAAAAAAAATGCGAAATAATTTTATATTTTATATTATTGATATCGTTTTAGAGAAAGTTTTACCGCAATCACGCACTTAAATTCGCCAACGAACATTTAATTACAATCAAGAATAATACAAAATCTAATCACCAATTTCCGTCTTCCGGATGACATTCCCTATTAAAATAATCTCCATTAATTTCGTCGTCAATTTATTATAAATCACGACCAGCTTCTTTTTTCGAGGTGTCCTTGACTTTTTTTTACTCTCAACTTCTCGCGGAAATTATACAACTCAAGGCAAATAGTTTTTAAAATTTACTGTTATATTATTTATAAGCTAATTGTTACTATTATTTCTTAGCTACAAAGACAATCTTTAAATTACAAATTTTTTTTACCCTTTACATAATTGTTTTTTGCATCTTATGATTTATAATTATGCACCTCTATTGCGATTTCCTATTATTAACACTACTTTGTAACAATTTTTTTACAATTGTTGTTACTGAAAATATTGCTATTGTCTTTACTATTAATATCACTATTGTTATCACTATTGTTATTAGTATTGCTATTACTATTGATAATGCTGTTATTACCAGTGTTTTATTACAATTGTTATTACTATTTTTTACTACTGTTATCACTACCGTTATTACTATTGTTTTTACTATTGTTATCACTACTGTTATTACTATTGTTTTTACTATTGCTATTACTGTTATTACCAGTGTTGTTACTATTGTTATTACTATTAGCTACGCCGATAAAAAATATTCCACATCATTTGATTCAATAATTTCTTTCCTCAAAATTCAAGAAGGATGAGAACAATTCGCAAAAAGTGAAAGACAAACAAATGAAGGGGAGAAATAAAAGACCTTGGCTTAAAAAAAAGAAGAAATTGTATAAATATCAAATGATAATATACCAGACAAATTTAACTATAAATTAATATTCGTTTACTTTCCGCAATGACACTTGAGAATCAATCAAATAATTACTTAAAGAGAGTGCACATGTAAAAGCACGTGGCGCAAGAGAATATCGGCTTTCTATAATTCAGTACACATCTAAAAGAAATAAAAAATTTTTTCCTACAATTGGTCTTTTTTAAAAAGAACAAACTTCCTGACTTTCATTCAAGCAGTTAATGACAACAGTAACGCAAATCATTAAAGAGAAAAAGATTATGATAAATTGACGATGCACCTGTCAATGAACAGAAAAAAAAGAAGCTGGTTTATCAAGAATTCACGCACTTGGCACTTTATATTAAAAATACAAAAAAAAAAGAAAAGAAAATGTCGACTTTTTCCCTCTTTATACCGAGGCGTGAATTTCCCTTTCTCACGTTGTAACACCTGATGTTTGTTTATTTCGAAATGTCACTGGAAACGATAACGTGATAATGACACGGGATTTGCAGAAAACCGAACTGAAAGATGAATAATTGATGGTTTGTAATTTCTCCATGGAGCGATTTCACCGGACGATATTGTTCTTTAATGAGGAGGGTGTAGGTTTTTCTTTTTTTTTTTTTGAAAGAAAAAAAAACCAAGACACCGCTTTGATCACACTAATATAATTTGTCGATCGTTCTGCGCTTAGCGATAGTTGAGAACGGTATGTGACTGCGAGAACGTGTGTATGGGTCACTCAGTCACCGGCAGGCACTTACTTTCCAGTTCGCCATGTTAGCACCGCTCTCGTCTCTCTCTCCTCGGTATCACACGTTTCCCTTCTTTTTCATGAACCGAGTGCAACTTCAGGGGGGCATAAAGTCTTGTCATACGTATATAAGTAACAAGAACGTTGTCGTATAGTTAATAAACTACTGCCATCAAGAAATTATTGCCAAGCTGATGTTGTTGATGTTGTTGTTGCTGCTACTACTGCTGCAAAAGCATGAATACAGGTAACGAATCGAGATTCAGGTACCAGGAGTAAGTTAACAACTCTTCGGACTTCAAGGCTGACGCTCTCTTCCGACTTGATCGACATTGACCTTCCTATTCCGAAACGTTTGCGGAAGGTAAACGGTCAAGTGTAGTTTCCTGAAGGTCGAATGTTGTGTAGCTAAATTACTAGGAGTGCTGCAAGAAACAAGAACAGGCAGACGAGTTTGGTCGAAGACGTTTTTCACCCTTGAGGAGCGGCAGCATATGATTGAAGATGAAGAGAAGCTGATCTTGAAGGAAATATTAATGATTAGTGCCAATAAAGTCAAAGACCATCACTCCAAAAATACCTATACTTTAAACCATCTGCACCATCATCATCATCATCATTCATCGTTATTATCATCAATCTATTCTATTTTTACAATCCGTCAATTTTTACCACCGCATAAGTTACCCAAACCTTATTAATCTAATTCCGTCATATACCGAATAGTAATTCGGTACATAAAAAAAATTCGGTAATAAAAATATAATCACTATCAGATTAGCATCATATTCATTAAAGTTTATTTAATTGTTATTGTTTCAATAAACTTATACCATACTAATAAAGCAAATTGTATTCCAAAAATCATAATCTTTATCGACCAGATGAATTTTCATTTAACAGAATTTATCCAAATATGTATTCCAAAAAACATAATATCTTTATCGACCGAATGAATTTTCATTTAACAGAATTTATCTCAGACTTGCCGCGGTATACCTTTTGTGAAAAAAAAAGTTCCGTAAACAAAATTAACAACTTTTGTGTAAAAGAGAAAAAAATCTTATCTACTAAAATTATTTACCTAAAAAAAATTCCATTTTTTTGCGACATTAACTTGAAAAGTTTGCTGTTTTCTTCACGAGTCAATAAAATCCGAATAATTTATAAATCTACCTGAAACAAACTATTCCCACATATAGCATACATATAAACATATATGTAGACTATATGCTTATATTAATATGTGAAATATTTATACTAAATTCAGAATATGTGTACGTCCGCATGGAAAAGGACCACTTTGTCGATTTTATTTTAGAAGATAATCACAATTTTCTAAAAGTGATTTAGATTTTTTCTATTTTATTGTTGAAAACTAAACTACAAAGTGTCCCACGTTAAATTATCCGTTTCAATGTTGTCACAAAGAATTAATTATAATGGTCCTAAACTAGTACTAGAACAATTCTAATTAATATCTGGGACATCAAAATCAATTTAATTGACAATTCATAAAAAGTAACCGCAGCCAATAATCAGCAGAAAATAAAACATTTTTTTTAGAGCGAACTTAATCTTCTGCTTACTAACAATTGACAGTCAAAATTTTTTTTACTGGTCCTAAACTATTACTATAACAATTCAAATTAATATCTGGGTCTGGGTTTTTCAGGATTTCCAAGCTCTGTGGCAACTATGAAAAAAATTTTCTATTATATTTATTTACGAATTTCTCGAATTGTAAAATTATTTGAAAAAATCAAATTTTATTTTAAGAATATTTCTATAAAACATGAAGATATCGAGCATTCCGAGTCGAAGACTCGGAGTGATCGATATCTTCATGTTTTATAATAATTAAAATTTCTATAAAATTTTTCAAAAAAAAAAAATTTTATTTTTTACAACAATTTTAATAAAATCCTTCGCAAGATTTCGATTATTTTTACGAGTAATACAATTTTTTACATCAATTCAATTATTTAAAAAAATTGTAATAAAATTGCAACAATTCAATTATTTCTATAAATAATAAACTTCGTCACAGGATTTCAATTATTTAAAAAATTTTTATAAAATTCGTTGCATGAAAATTCAATTATTTTCATAACTAATAAAATTCTTCACAGGATTTCAATTATTTTTAAAACAATTTTCAGTAAATTTTTCGAAAAATGTAATTATTAATAATTATCAATTACTTTTAATAATTTTTGCAAAAGTTCCTAGAGAATTTTCAAATCCATTTGTTTACATTTCAATTTTACGACATTTTGATTATTTGGAAAAATCTTCAATTAAATATTTAGAAATTAAAACCTTAAAATAATTTCCAAAAAAAAATTTAAATAAACTTTATCAAAATTCAATTATTATCTAAAATTTTTACTGAAATTCATTTTTAAATCAATTTTTATTAGAAAATTCTAGGCGAATTCAATTATTTAAATACAAAAATAAATACTTTATTGAATAAATAAATGTTTCTCAAATTTGAATTCTCAAATTGAATTAATTAATTAATTTAATTTATCATCAAATTTTTAATTAATTTAATTTTTAGGACGAATTTTATTTAAATTTTCAAGAATAATTACATTTTTCTAGGAATTCGGTTAATATATTGTATTAAAAATCATTGAAATTCTATTATGAGTTTTATCATTTAGGAAAATAATTGAATCGCTGTAAAAAATTTTATTATTTATGAAAATAATTTTATTATTTTTTTATTAAATTCATTCTGAATTAAAATTTTCTAAAATTTCAAATTAAAATTGTTCAAAATGTAATCAAGAATATACACTCCAATAGTGACAAAGTGATCCCTTTTCATGCGGACGTACACATAAAATATAAAATTTTGCACATTTCTGATACAAAAAAATTTTTTTAATAAAATTGAATAGATATTAATAATAATTGATCGTACCTAGTGCATTATGCTATAAGTCATCTGAAAGTAATAGATAAAAAAAAGGAAAATACAATTCATAATTAATAAATTATTAAATAACATTTAAAACAACATAGTGACAAAAAATGAATAATAAAAAAAGAGAATAATAATATTAATAAAAATAATAATAATAATAAGTAAAATAGTAATAATTATAATAATAATAAAAAAATGTAACTGGTACTTCGGTTACTGTGAGATGCTGGCACGCATGTGTGCACATGCGTTCGTATACTCGCACGCCAAAAAAACATTTTCCCTACCTATAACAATATTTCTAACAAAATTATTTCACGCAACGAAGAAAAAGCCATTCCTACCTAAACCTCAATTAACCTATTTTTTCCTACACCCGCAAAATCAATGTTCGATTCTCTCAAATATCGCCAAGGTAGAAATCGTTTTTGGGAGCACCTTAGAACAAAAAGCTGAAAAGAAAACAGTTAAACACAACAAATGATAAATGGCATAAATATTAAAACAGTAAAAGAACATTCTGTTGTCACTATGTTGCTTTCCTTCCCTGTTTTCGGAAAATATAATATCTATAAATTTTAAATATTTACCATGAATAGTACCTAGTTTCAAGAAAGTAAGAAAATATTTACTTACTATTCCAAAATTTTGCAAAACGGAAAAATTATAGAAAAAACTAAATCCATATATTAATTGATGTACTAACCGATTGTATTTAGAAAAATAAATAATCTCAAAAAGTAACTTAAACAGGGAAGGAGTAAAATCAGAAAATTGCCATTTGACTCATCAGTCGTAACAAGTAAAATAAATTAATTGTGCATTTGACTCATCGAACGGCGATCCCACGTTGGTCGATGGATGCTATGCCATCGCGCTTCCTCTAGAAGAATATTCAAGGTGGCGAGTGAAAATTATTTCGAAAATTCTCTAACTTTTCCCTAACCAAAAACAAAATTTCTTAGCCAAAAACAAAATTTATTTATCATAAAAGCAAATGTAATTTATGTATAAAAGCAAATTGAAAATTAATTCTAATTCTTTATATTAAACTTGGGTTTCACTTCTATTGTTTAAAAAAAATTCTATTGAAATCTGAATTAAAATGATTTTATAAATAATTATTTTATGAAACATTTTTATAAATTAAATTCAAAAGATTTTATAAGGAAAAAAATTCGATTAAATATTTGAAATTTGATGGCAAACTTCAGACAAAAATATTGTCCTTCCCTGATCATAAGAATTTCCTACTATCTATTCGCGGTAGCTCGCCACCCTGACAATGAACCACTATTGAAGATTCTCGATGAATACACTTTCCAATTTTCCATGTTAAGACATCGAGTTCTTGGAAACAGACAAATTTTCCATCTTCTGGAGCACTGACTGAAAATTAAAAGAAATTTATATTATACATAAAATAAAATTGATTGTGAACTTAATATTAACTTTTTTTATCCATAAATTACAAAAAATTAGAATTACTAGTTATTTTTAACAATTAACTTTAAATTATTTAAACCGGATATTTTTCTAACATTATTGCGAACAAAAGAAAACTGCCATCCAATTAGAATAATAGAAAATAAGTTTAATGAAAATTCGGTTAAATAAAAACTCTACTAATGGAAAATTTTACTAAATTGCACTCAATGAGAGATTATCTGCAATTTCTCTCTCCCCTGACAATAAATTCAGGCAATTGCAAGTGCTTCTAATTCAAATCAGCCTGTAACTTGTGGGATCAAAGGGGTCTTGTACAATTTGAAACGAAAAATAAGAGAAGAGATTTAATATAACGAAAAAATTCTACACAAAGAAATGAAAAAAATATAATAATTTAATTAAAATCCACATTTCAGATTTTATGTCTCTCAATCTATACAATTTCAGTGATAAACTCTTATGGACTATCAATTATTCCTTGATTATAAATCAAGGTGGTAATTAATAATAATCAAGAAGTAATCGAAAGTCCATGGAAATTTAATAGAAACATCTAAATAGCTAATGGAAAAAATCCAATGTATAAAAAAAGAGAAAAACTCTCGTAACGACAAACCTTGTATTTATCTCATAATTAAAAAATATATTTTTTCACTGCCCTGGATTAAGATATACTTATTAACCTCAATTTATTAAATTTTACATAACTTTATCCATCAAGTTGACTTTCATGTTATAATAACTTTCTCCGGCATACTTCATTTCATCTATAAAATTTACAGATTCTCTCATTTCTAGTTGAACTTTTATTATTTTTTATAGTTTAATATTAACATTGACCGTAATAAACCATTATTTTGTTTTAATTTGCTATTTAATTTAGTATTTAAGTTAATATTTTGTTGCTATTTAATGTTTAACTTAATATTTTTTTGCTATTTAATATTTAAGTCAACTTTTTTCTTGCTATTTAATACTTAAATCAATCTTTTTTACCTATAAAATATTCAAGTTCATTTTTCTGTTGATATTTAAAATTTAAATAGAAATTCAAAGTAACTACCACAGAGTTGCTACAAAAATTTAATTTTCTTTTTCCCTGACTTTTTCCTGATTTCCAGACAAAATTTTGACTTTTTCCCTTATCCTAAAAAAAATATTCTGATTCACTCTAAAAATGATTAGGTACTCAAAAAAAGTGTTTCCATTACATTTATTTACGAATTTCTTTAATTGTAAAATTATTCAAAAACATCAATAACTTCTATTATAAATAATTGTTTAATCATTATTATTTTTCAATAGAAATTCAGATTTTCAAAAATTTCAAATGCAAGCCTTTTTGAAATTTAACAACTTATAATAATGAATGATAAAATTATTATTATTATTATTATCTAAAATTTTTAATTAAATTTATTTTTAAATCAATTTTTATTAGAAAATTCTACGAGAATTCAATTATTTAAATACAAAAATAAATAATTGATTGAACAATTGAATGTTTCTGAAAACTAAATTTTTATGAAGAATTTTATCAAAATTTTTAAAAATAATTGAATTCTTTCGGTAAATTTCAAAAAACATTTTAAGAATAAATGCAATTTTCTATCATTATATTTAAAATTGTATAAAAAATAATTGAAATTCTGCGATAACTTTTGTTATTTATGAAAATAATTGAATTCTTGGGAAGAATTTTATTAAAATTTCTTAAATAATTGAATTGCTTTGAAGAATTTTATTTTTTAAGAAAATAATTAAATTATTTCGAAAAAATTAATTTTTAAATCAATTCTTATTATAAAATTCTACGAGAATTTAATTATTTAAATACAAACATAGATAATTTAATGAATGCAATTTGGAATATTTCTTCAAATTGAATTCTTACACATAATTTTATCAACATATTTTTAAATAATTGAATTCTTTTGATGAATTTTAATAACATTTTTTAGAATAATTACATTTTACGAGGAATATAATTGAAATTATATTAAAAATAATAAAATTTTGCAATGAGTTTTATTATTATTTATGAAAATAATTGAATCCCTGTAAAATTATTATTATTTATAAAAATAATTAAATATTTGCATAGAATTTTATAAATTTTTTTTTTAAATATTTGAATTCTTTTGGAAATTTTTATTAAAATAGTAGGTTTGAAAATCAGTGAATTAAGGGATATTTTTAAAAATAATTTTTCAGCAAAGAATTTTGCAATTTATAAAGACAAAAAAATTCAATTCTCATAAAGAATTTTATCAACAAATTTTTTAATAATTCAATTCTTTTTACGAATTATAATTGAAATCCTAAAAAATTTATTATTTACAAAAATAATTGAATCCCTGTGAAAAATTTTATTATTCATAAAAATAATTGAATCCCTTTGAAAAATTTTATCATTTTTGAGGCTCGGTGAAACTAGCGACCCGCCGGCCGCCACCCATCAGAAGAATCCATAGGCGCCGACACACATAGTAGCGCGGTGGCCCTATACGGTTCAATCAACGCAAAAACAACCTACGTTAGCTATTACAGTTTATAGGAAAAAATTGCAATAGTCACATTTTAAAGAGCAATAATCCCCCTTTAATTTTCGACCAAGAAATAAGCATTTGGTCTGAAATTGTTCGAGTTATGAATTTTTTTTCGAATTTTTTTCCAATTTTCGTTTTTCTGATACGGGCGGGTGGGGACGCTGGCTATCAAAAATGTATCTAAAAAATTGTCAATTGTCACATTTGGAGGAGCAATAATCCCCCTTTAATTTCCGACCAAGAAATAAGCATGTGGTCTGAAATTGTTCGAGTTATGAATTTTTTTTCGAATTTTTTTCCAATTTTCGTTTTTCTGATACGGGCGGGTGGGGACGCTGGCTATCAAAAATGTATTTAAAACATTGTCCATTATCACATTTTGAAGAACAATAATCCCCCTTTAATTTCCGACCAAGAAATAAGCATGTGGTCTGAAATTGTTCGAGTTATGAATTTTTTTTCGAATTTTTTTCCAATTTTCGTTTTTCTGATACGGGCGGGTGGGGACGCTGGCTATCAAAAATGTATTTAAAACATTGTCAATTATCACATTTTGAAGAACAATAATCCCCCTTCAATTTCCGACCAAGAAATAAGCATGTGGTCTGAAATTGTTCGAGTTATGAATTTTTTTTCGAATTTTTTTCCAATTTTCGTTTTTCTGATACGGGCGGGTGGGGACGCTGGCTATCAAAAATGTATTTAAAACATTGTCAATTATCACATTTTGAAGAACAATAATCCCCCTTCAATTTCCGACCAAGAAATAAGCATGTGGTCTGAAATTGTTCGAGTTATGAATTTTTTTTCGAATTTTTTTCCAATTTTTGTTTTTCTGATACGGGCGGGTGGGGACGCTGGCTATCAAAAATGTATTTAAAACATTGTCAATTATCACATTTTGAAGAACAATAATCCCCCTTCAATTTCCGACCAAGAAATAAGCATTTGGTCTGAAATTGTTCGAGTTATGAATTTTTTTTCGAATTTTTTTCCAATTTTCGTTTTTCTGATACGGGAGGGTGGGGATGCTGGCTATCAAAAATGTATTTAAAAAATTGTCAATTGTCACATTTTGAAAAGCAATAATCCCCCTTTAATTTCCGACCAAGAAATAAGCATGTGGTCTGAAATTGTTCGAGTTATGAATTTTTTTTCGAATTTTTTTCCAATTTTCGTTTTTCTGATACGGGCGGGTGGGGACGCTGGCTATCAAAAATGTATTTAAAACATTGTCAATTATCACATTTTGAAGAACAATAATCGCCCTTTAATTTCCGACCAAGAAATAAGCATGTGGTCTGAAATTGTTCGAGTTATGAATTTTTTTCGAATTTTTTTCCAATTTTCGTTTTTCTGATACGGGCGGGTGGGGACGCTGGCTATCAAAAATGTATTTAAAAAATTGTCAATTGTCATATTTTGAAGAGCAATAATCCCCCTTTAATTTCCGACCAAGAAATAAGCATTTGGTCTCAAATTGTTCGAGTTATGAATTTTTTTTCGATTTATTTTCCAATTTTCGTTTTTCTGATACGGGCGGGTGGGGACGCTGACTATCAAAAATGTATTTAAAAAATTGTCAATTGTCACATTTTGAAGAACAATAATCCCCCTTTAATTTCCGACCAAGAAATAAGCATGTGGTCTGAAATTGTTCGAGTTATGAATTTTTTTTCGAATTTTTTTCCAATTTTTGTTTTTCTGATACGGGCGGGTGGGGACGCTGGCTATTAAAAATGTATTTAAAAAATTGTCAATTGTCATATTTTGAAGGGCTATAATCCCCCTTTAATTTTCGACCAAGAAATAAGCATTTGGTCTGAAATTGTTCGAGTTATGAATTTTTTTTCGAATTTTTTTCCAATTTTCGTTTTTCTGATACGGGCGGGTGGGGACGCTGGCTATCAAAAATGTATTTAAAAAATTGTCAATTGTCATATTTTGAAGAGCAATAATCCCCCTTTAATTTCCGACCAAGAAATAAGCATTTGGTCTCAAATTGTTCGAGTTATGAATTTTTTTTCGATTTATTTTCCAATTTTCGTTTTTCTGATACGGGCGGGTGGGGACGCTGACTATCAAAAATGTATTTAAAAAATTGTCAATTGTCACATTTTGAAGAACAATAATCCCCCTTTAATTTCCGACCAAGAAATAAGCATTTGGTCTGAAATTGTTCGAGTTATGAATTTTTTTTCGAATTTTTTTCCAATTTTCGTTTTTCTGATACGGGAGGGTGGGGATGCTGGCTATCAAAAATGTATTTAAAAAATTGTCAATTGTCACATTTTGAAGAGCAATAATCCCCCTTTAATTTCCGACCAAGAAATAAGCATTTGGTCTGAAATTGTTCGAGTTATGAATTTTTTTTCGATTTATTTTCCAATTTTCGTTTTTCTGATACGGGCGGGTGGGGACGCTGGCTATCAAAAATTCGAACAATTTTATACCAAATGTTTATTTCTTGGTCACAAATTAAAGGGGGATTATTGCTCTTTATAATGTGAATATTGCAATTTTTTCCTATAAACTGTAATAGCTAACGTACGTTGTTTTTGTGTTGATTGAACCGCATAGGGCCACCGCGCTACTATGTGTGTCGACGCCTATGGATTTTTCTGATGGCTGGCGGCCGGCGGGTCGCTAGTTTCACCGAGCCCATTTTTGAAAATAATTTAATTATTGCGAAAAAATTTATAAAAAATTTGCAAATAATGGAATTCCTGTGAAATTTTTATTATTTAGGAAAATAACTAAATGTTTGAGTATAATTTTATTAAAATTCTCTTCTAAATAATTGAATTCTTTTGGAAAATTTTATTAAAATAGTAGATATTGAATATTTTTGAAAATAATTGAAATTTTGACAAGAATTTTATTAAAACTTTTAAAAATAATTGAATTTTGGCGAAGAATTTAATTATTTTTAGTATTTTTAATTAAAATTCTTCTATAAATCCATTATTTTTTATAATTAATTAAATATATATTAAAAAATTCAACTAATTTCAGAAGAGTTTTAATTATTAAAATTTTTCAAAAATCTAAGTTCTTTTTTTCTTTTTAATTAAATTCATTCAAAATTGAAATTTTATAATAAAATTTTAATTTGAAACCTTTTAAAATTTATCTATTTATGAAGAGTGTCAACTCAACTCTTTTAAAATTCAATTAATACTGAAATATTTAAGTAAAATTATTTATTAAGTAGTTAGTAATTTATAAATAATAATTTTGATAGTTTTTCGAGAATTAAATTATTTGAAAAGAAATTATTGTCAAAAATAGAAAAAAATTGAAGGTTTTGTATTGGAATTCGTGGTTTATGAGACAAACAAAAAAGACACCGAAATTCAGAATTTTCTTATAAATTCTAAAAAATCAATTTTTTCCAGTACTTTTAATAAAAATCGATGACTTTTCCCTGACCAATTCTACTTCCCCTGAATTATCTGACTTCCCTGGCTTGTGGCATTCCTATACCATTACTTCTCTCCAGAATTCGTGTTGGAAAAATATTTTGAAAAACAAATAAAATTTCAACAACAAAAAAATGGAACATTTTACCGTGAGAGATATAATCCAGCCAATAAACAAAGAATTTTTTATTTCGATTGTATCCAGGAACATTAATTTCATTCAATGACTTTTCTTTGCTGAGAGAAAACAGCTTTGCATTTTTTTTTTTATACAAAAAGTTTTTTCGAGATACGCGATGTCCTTACGAGTCAAGTTTGAAATAGATATCGCGGCAAAACCCTTCGAGTCGGACATGAACCTGACTTTTAAACTGGATCATACATTCGAGGGTCAACCGTTTCTACCAAAAGGATTTATGAGTGTTACATGGGTGTAACTCTCCCAGTTATCGACCTTGAATAATCGTGCGACTGGTGGTTGAGAAATAAAAATAAAAACAACCTCCTCTTACCATATACTTGAGTTGAGATACAAAATTCCACATCACAACTAGCCAGGACGTAAAATGATGATGACTTTTGCCAATCGTCCTGTAGTCAAAGACTTGAGGTTACCGCTCTCATATTATTGGAGAAACTAGTCGTCCTCCACTAGACAGACGTCTATCGATCAGCATTTCAATATGTGATAATTCCTCTCCGGTATAAATCCGTCTAGAAAACAAAATGCGAGAGAAAAAATTACTATTCGAATAAAATCGATCACTGAAATTTTATTATTTATTTATAACAAATAATTTTACTCAGAATTTATTTGAAAATAGAACAAAATTATTTATACATTGAATACCAGTTTATGACTGCAAGACTGAAAATTACTTGGTTTAATTATTTATTCGATAATAGTCACGTTAATAAAGATAAAAATAACAAGAAAATAATCCTTCTTGTGTAACAAAGGATTTTATAAACTCGAGAGTTAAAATTATATGTACATTTAAATTAATTTTATTCCACAGTTTACACTATATAACAAAAATAAATTACGATATAAACAGAATTATTGATTCCTTTTCTATAAATATAATATTTAATATTTGATGGACTCTAAAATTTAATCGAGGACTTATGGAAAACTATTTAGTTTTATTAGAAATTTTCTACAAAAAATTTATTGCATTTTAAAGGTCGAAAAAGTTTTTATACAGAAGGTTCTCTTCAGTAAATAGCAAACAACAATTTTTCTAATAAGGATCAAAACATTTTTAATTTTCTGTCAAAATAATTAATAATTTAATTTTGAAAATTTTTTTATATATTCGAAAAAATTGCCATAAATAAAGAAACATTCGTCATACCTGACAACCGTTTTATTATTTAAACAATTGTAATATAAATATGTAATACGTGAATATAAAACTCTCAGAAATGAAGAATTTTAAGATTAAAATGTCAATTATTGAAAAATACGATATAAAATACAAGTTTCTGTAACACCTGGTAAGTAGAAAGGAATTCAATGATTCAACTTTTAAAGTAGATTTTCTCTCAATGATGACAAGAGTTTACAAAGAAAATTCCTCCACGAATTACCTTATCTGTTCATTAAATGTCCTATTTATTTGCTACTTGTTTAGATTTATATGGACTTGAACTTGTATGTCAGTGGTTCAACGGATCTGTAAAAATTTACACTCGCAGAGATGCGATACTAAAAGTATTTAACAAATAAAATGTTGAAAATTGCGCAAATAATTTGAATTAATCTAAATTGCAAGTTCTTTAAAAAAAAAATAAACAATCCAATGAAGACAGAATGGAAAATTCTTGAAATTTTGAAGAATATTCGTCACACTAATAAATGAAATTTTTCGCATTTCTTTTTCAAACAAGAACAAGATTTGCACGTGCGTAATCTGTACCTTTCCAACTTATAAATCAAGGATAAACCATGAATATTTAAAAAAAGATACAGAGATGACAGAACTCGAAATATAAATATATTCAACACTTTATTTAAATGCGAATTCAATTGATATATCTTGAATCAAAATCAATTTTTTTAAATCAATATACTAACGTAATATAAAATTTCATGATAACTAAAATCGTATAAATTTCACATAAAACTAATCAGATGTGCTCCAAAAATTGAATTTTGTTTTCCCTGACTTTTCCTTAATTTCCAGACAAAATTTTTACTTTTTCCCTGACCCTACAGAATATTCTGATTCACTATAAAAATGATTAGATACTAAAAAAATGTTCTATTATATTTATTTACGAATTTCCTTAATTATAAAATTATTCGAAAACACCAATAACTTCATTTTGAAATAAATATTTAACCATTATTATTTTTTCAAAACTATTATTTTATATTATAAGACTATAGTTAGTATAACTTCTTCAAAATTATTTTCATCATTTTATTTCAATTATTATTTTCTACAATTTTTAACTACAATTCATCTTTAAATCAATCTTTTTTAATAATTTTTGAAAAAAATTAGTTCCATAAAATTTTAAATTAAAAGTATGAAAAATTCAGATTTTCAAAGATTTTAATTTGAAACTTCTCCAAAATTCAATTGTTTCTAAAAATTGCATTTATTAGTAACTTCTCCAAAATTCAATTATTATCTAAAACTTTAACTGAAATTAATTTTTAAATTAATTTTTATTAAAAAATTCTACGAGAATTTAATTATTTAAATAAAAACAGATAATTTATTGAATAATTGAATGTTTCTTAAAATTGAATTCTTATACCAAATTTTATCAACAAATTTTTAAATAATTGAATTCTTTCGACGAATTTTTATAACATTTTTAAGAATAATTACATTTTTCGAGGAATTCTATTAAAATTGTATTAAAAATAATTAAAATTCTGCAACGAGTTTTACGATTTATGAAAATAACTGAATTATTGCGAAGAATTTTATAAAAAAGTTGCAAACAATTGATATTTTTCGCGAAAATTTATGCAAATTATATTTTTAATAATTGAATTCCTGTAAAATTTTCATTATTTTAGAAAATAATTGAATATTCGTCTAGAACTTTGTCAAAATTGTTTTAAATAATAAATTGAATTCTTTTGGGAAATTTTATTAAAATAATAGATATACAAATTATTGAATTAAGAAACAATTTTGAAAATAATTTAATTCTTGTGTTGAATATTGTTATTTATGGAAATAATTGACTTCCTCAAAATGATTTTATTATTTATGAAAATAATTAAATCCCTGAAAAGAATTTTAAAATTTATGAAAATAAATAAAATACTGCGAAAATTTTAATGACAAATTTTAAATCATTTGATTTTTTCGAGATAATTTATGCAAATTCTATTTTAAATAATTGAATTCCTGCGAAATTTGTATTTTTTTTGGAAAAAAATAATTATATATAATTAAATTTTAGTATTTTTGAAAATAATTGAATTCTTGTGATGAATACTATTACTTATGACAATAATTTAATTTTGAAATGAATTTTATTAAAATTCCTGAAAACAATTGAATTTTATCGAAGAAATTTGATATTCATTTATAAAGAAAATTGTAATGTTGACAATTTTTTTTTAGATTTTTTGAAAATAATTGAATTCTTGTGATGAATATTGTTATTTATGAAAATAATTAAAATTAGCAATAAATTTTATAAAAATTCCTGAATAGACTTGAATTTTGGCGAAGAATTTTGCTATTTATAAGGATAATTGAAATGCTGACGAGAATTTTTTTTTAATTTTTGAAAATAATTGAATTTATTGAAAGAATTTTGATATTTATTAAGATAGTTGAATTCTTTCAAAGAATTGAATTAAAATTTTTTAAAATTTATACTAATTTCAATCCCTTTTCCTAGATTTCCCAGACTTTTCCCTGACCTGTGGCAACCCTACAAAACTAATTATTAAAAAGTTGAGTAACTCTTTTCGGTAAAGAAATTAATTTTTGAAAAACTTAAATTTTTTCTTTAAAAAGGAAAAAAATAAGTACTAATTTGAAATATTAATTATTTTGCTATAATTAGTTTGAATTAGCTATTTTTAGAGTATATTGCTTTTAATATCCGCCTGATTGTAAATATTAACCTCCTAAAAATGTTTCTGAAATGAAATACGACACCTTTACGAATACATACACTTACTGTAATTAAGCAAATTATATTAGTTGTCATTACAAAAGAGATAAATGCTCTTTGCATTAACCTAAATTAGAAAAATTGATTGTTGAATTATCAACATTATTACAATGATTATAATTTAGTAACAATTATTGAAAATTCACTATTGTTTGAAACAAAATTCACTAACCTGTAAAATTAACAATAAATCGTTAAGAAACAATGTAATAGTAAAATGATTAAATCTAAAGGATTTATAATGACCGTAAAATTTCTAACGAATAACAAAAGATTTGAAGTAATTTAGAACAATAAAACCCAGCGGGCAAGGGGCGTGTTGTTTGAGATGTGTTCAATAACCCCCATGCCACCCTTTGTTTACAAGGAACAAAAAGATCAATTACCTTTGAAAAAATCAACTTCAATAGAATTAATATAATATTCGAAAAAATTGATGTTTTCCAAATATCAGATAAATCAACACCGTAGAATATTTATATTTGCAAATTATATAGAGAAAAAAGAATTTTTTGCAACGAACGAAAATTTCTCACCTTCCTTTCGTACATCACTCGTTGAATGTGAAATGTTCATCGAATGTGAAGTCATCCATCTGAAACAAACAATTATCTGTTTAATCAACTATCCATAAACCTGATTTACCAGATATTTAACAGAAAAAACCGCAAATAATGACTTTAATTACGTACTAAAGGTGTTAGAAAGACGAAAGTAAAAAATTTTCAAGATGGCGGCTTGGCAAAATCTTGAGTTACCAAAATTAGATATTGACATCTAAGTATTCGGTAAACAATATTTATTTAACTTTTATGTCTAACGAAAAGAAAATTGAAATTTAAAACTACACTGACTATTTAAAAAGTTTTTATCTCTATAGAATAATGTAATTATTGACAATTTCACGAGCGGTAACTGATCCGCTTACCATCGAGAATGAAAGTGGGAGACAGTGTTGCCATCTGTACGGAAATCGTTAAAGCAAGAAGGATTACCAACTGCTTACATGACAACATAAAGAAAATCAATAAATATTATTATTATTATATTTATATAATTTATATTGACATCAATTGAAAATTGTATACAACATGGAAATTTTGTATTAAAAGAAAAGTAATTAATAAAAAGTCATAAGACAGTATTGCCATCTATTCACAAACAACCAAAACAGGAATATTTTTCGCTGCTAACAAACATAAATATATTTCAAATAATCAAAGAATTGAACTATTTCTCATAGAAAATTATCATTGAAAGTTAATTTTACACTCAATTTATTAGTTAAATTACCTTTAATTGTAAATTATACTACGATTAATTAAGAAATGAAAAATTAATTTTTGAACAACGACGCCATTATGCTTCAGAGCGTCTTCAACAGTGATTGGTTAGTGAAAGAGAAAAAGAAGAGTCTCCACCAATTATCTTTCGTAAATTATAATTCCAACAGAAATCTCTCCTCCCATTGGTCCATTTAAGATTTGACAATTTTTACCTGTAGGTGGCGTTTAAAACCATAGTAAATCATTTGCGTTCTTGCTGCATTTGAGTGCAAAACTGCAATTAAATTAAAGCTGATTACGTTTACAGATTTGGCTGAATTTCAGCCTTTCTGCAAACAATGACGGCTCACGACCAAATGCGAGCGATGCTCGATCAATTAATGGGCACTGGACGAAATGGTAAGTAATTATCTTTGTTTATATATTGACGATCAAATTGAAAAACTACTTGCCACATTGGCTTCAAAACATGAAGCTCCCTATAACCAAGCTACAAGATGGTGACCTACAAGTCATACTTTCTATCGACCGTTAAACTACATACGCATTGCAAAAAAAAAATTGAAATCATTTTACAATTTCATTATTATTTTTAGGTGAGAATAATAAATTTCAAGTGAAATACTCGGATCCTAAAGTCTGCAAGAGTTTCCTGCTTGCTTGCTGTCCACACGAGATTTTGTCCTCGACGGTGAGTATATTTCTTTCGAAAAGAAATTTATTTGGGTTCATTCTATAAATCCTCCATAATATTTAATATAAACAAAAAAACCTTCCGATTTCATTGGTATTTTAAAACCAAAATTGCGATCGGAATTGCAAATTGTTGATAAACATTTTAATCTAATAATTAAAAATTGTTTTGTCGATAAATGTTGATTAATCAATATTTTTATCTTGTTAAAGTAAATTTTATTTTTAATTTATTTGTCAGAAATGTCAAAAAAGATATTTTGTAAATGCATTTTTTTGAAATAGTCGTTTTTCTCATAAAATTGTTACGATTATTACTTTTTTTTTATAAATAGAGTCATGAAAATTGCAATGATAAATATCGGTATGGAGGTAAGACGGATAAAAATACAAATATATTTAGAAAAAAAGTAATAAAATTTCAATTTATAATAAAAAATATCCGGACTTCGGATACTATTTCAATTTTTTTTTCAAATATCTTGGATATAAATTGAAATAATTAATGATTTTCTTGTTGAATTGCGTGAAGGATGCAGCCGCTTAGGTTTTTAAATACAGGAATTTTTTTTGAATAATTTTTACTAATAGAGAATATTTCAAGAGTTTGTTAAAAAAAAGAAAAAACAACGAGATTTAAAAAAATGATTTTAAACTTACGGTTAACTAATATCGATGCGACTGCAGTTCTATTTCCAGAACGTCTGGAAAATGCAATTCCAATCCGATCCATTGTACAATATCGTTACGAATATTGTCCACTAGTATGTCGTTGTTCTTGTCACTCTCACAAGCGCGTTATAATGTAAGTACTGAAAACAAAAAGGACGTACGTATTAAATATCTACAATTGATCTATTTAAATTAATTAAGAATTCTATAAGGTGATAATTAGCTCTGAGAAAAGAAAATTATGGAAGTCGCTGCGACCTTTTCACCCGAATAATAATGGTGGCGAGGCCGAGCGCCGAAGCTAGAAAAATTATTTTATTTCCCAGACCCCGAGAGGCCTGTGTTCTAATGCGCTTCGGTGAGTAGCGTTACAAATAATTGATTCGCAAGATTTTTTAATATCGTATTCTTTCTCCATTTATGGAAAAATTGGGAGTAAATTCGATGTGAGTATGTGTGTAAAAACAAAAAAATTATTTTACCTTTGGGGAAAAATATTCATGCGGGTTAAAAAAAAAAAAATTTCTGTAAGTAATACTCGCGAATTGCCAAAACGTACACGTGCAAATAACACTTTTTTTCTTGAATATTCCTCCCTTTTGCTGATTCAAAAAAAAAAAAAAAATGATCAACAAAAGAGACTAAATTGTGTAAATATCCTCTAAAGCCTTTCGGTATAAATTTTGTTAAAACTTGCAATTGTTCGCTTTCTGTTTATTTCTCTACTTTCTGATTTGAATTATTTAGTTTACTGATGTAGATTGCATGTTTTGTGATTGTCCATAAATTGATTACTAAAAATTTTCCGCACTGAATAATATAAAATATTTAAAAAAGATCTTCAGGGTTGCCACAGGTCAGGAGAATCAGGGAAAAGTCAGGGATTTTTATTAAAAGTATTGGAAAAATTTAAATGTTTAGAATTTATAAGAAAATTCTGAATTTTTGTGTCTTTTTGTTTGCCTCATAAACTATGAAATTACCACGAATTCTAATACAAAACATTCAATTTTTTCTATTTCTGACAATAATTTCTATTCAAATAACTTAATTCTATTGAAGAACTGCCATAAAGTTATTTACTTACTGTTGAAATTAGTTTCAATTTTAAAAATTCTAACGCAATTCTTTGAAAGAATTCAACTATCTTAATATGTAAATATTAAAATTCTTCTAATAAATTCAATTATTTTCTAAAATTTAAAAAAAAAACTCAACAACATTTCAATTATTTTTATAAATAGCAAAATTCTTCGCCGAAATTCAATTATATTCAGGAATTTTAATAAAATAGATAACAAAATTCAATTATTTTCAAAAGTAATAAAATTCAATATTTTCAAAAATTTTAATATAATTCATGACAAAATTTCAATGATTTTTTGATAAAATTCTACACAAACATGCAATTATTTTCCAAATAAATAAAAATTTCATAGAAATTCAATTATTTAAAATAGAATTTGCATAAATTTTTTTTAAAAACTCGAATGTTTTAAAATTTGGCATTAAATTTTTCGCAGTAATTCAATTATGTTCATAAAGTTTAAAATTCTTTTCAGAGAATTAATTATTTTTATAAATAATAAAATCATACGGAGAAAGTCAATTATTTTCATAAATAACAATATTCATCACAACATATCAACTATTTTCAAAAGTAATAAAATTCAAATATTTTCAAGAATTTTAATAAAGTTTTTTGCAAAATTTCAATTATTTTCAAAAATTTTCTTAATTCAATGATTTTTAATATTCTATTATTTTAATAAAATTCCCCAAAAGAATTTAATTATTAAACAAAAATTTTGACAATATTCTACACGAATATTTAATTATTTTCTAAAATAATAGAAATTTCAATATTCTACTATTTTAATAAAATTTCCCAAAAAATTCAATTATTAAACAAAAATTTTGACAATATTCTACACAAATATTTAATTATTTTCTAAAATTATGGAAATTTTTCAGGAATTCAATTGTTAAAAATAGAATTTGCATAAATTTTCTCAAGAAAAATCAATTGTTTGCAACTTTTTTATAAAATTTTTCGCAATAATTCAATTATTTTCATAAATAATTAAATTAATTTGGAACATTTCAATTATTTTTAATACAATTTTAATCAAATTCCTCGAAAAATGTAATTATTCTTAAAAATGTTATAAAAATTCGTCGAAAGAATTTAATTATTTAAAAATTTGTTGATAAAATTCATTATGAGAATTCAATTTTAAGGAGCTTTCAATTTTTTAATAATAAATTATATATATTTGTATTTAAATAATTGAATTTTTGTAAAACTTTCTAAAAAAATTTATTTAAACATTAATTTCAGTTAAAGTTTTAGATAATAATTGGATTAAATATTTATTTAAAAATGAAGTCATATTGGTGTTTTTGAATAATTTGACAATTAAGGAAATTCGTAAATAAATGTAATAGAAAATTTTTTGGAGTATCTAATCATTTTTAGAGTGAATCAAAATATTCTTCAGGGTCATGGAAAAAGTAAAAAATTTATCTGGAAATCAGAGAAAAGTCAGGGAAAAAGAAAATTCAATTTTTGTGGCAACCCTGATCTTTTTTCCAAACTTACATGGAGTAGAAGAGGAAATAATTTTTTTTATTACTGTCGTAAGCACGTGTGATTTAGAAATGAAATTTTTAGAAGTCAATTATTTTTTTTTAAATTTAGAAAGAAAGTTTTTTTTTCTCAAGTATATTTGTTCGATTTTTTTTATTTTTTTGGCAATTTGTGAATGTTCGAGATTATAGAGGAGCAATAAAGATCAAGTGGCTCGAAGAAGAGAACAATATTATGTGGAATTACACGACATGCCAGTGCTGTTTACAAAAATTCCCTCATCATTTGGATGTACGTATTTAATTCGATTTCTAAAATAAGTGATTAAAATGGGACGTGGGACGAATTGTCCGACACCTAATTAATTGAAATTCATACATATAATCAAATATTAGGTTTTTAAGATGTCTGATAGCAAATTGAATATGTAAACTTAAGGTGTGTGCTGATTGTAGCATCGTTGCCATCGCATTGTCGCGTCAGGCGGAGAGGGTTGCCACTCTGTAAGTGAAATCAAAAAAATATCTATTTCTATAGAAATTATTTCGTTAATTCTGGTTAAGAAAATAAAAGAAATCAACATAAAATCTTAAGACCAAGGTTATTTTTTTTTTAAATTGTATATTAATAACGAGATTCAATTACTCTACCCCATACCAGAACTACTGGCCATTAGCTCTTCGTAAACGTTCTCAATGGCAATAACGAGAGACTTGACGCAATGGTGCATATTATTTTTGTAAGTCTGATTATTAAAGTTTTTTTTCTAGCAAATTTTTTGCACTAAAGGCAATCGGCTTTTCATTCAAAATTATTTCACCGTTTAACAGTCAGTAATGTCGTTTCAGACTTTGCTTTTAAACATGTATAAATAACTTGGTGCATTTCGCATTATACTGCTAAGGTCAGATGTTTAATGAGACCGGTCATAAAATATTGGGAGGGATTCTTGTATTTAGAAAATGGCAGAATGCCATAATCATTTTTCACTATTAAAAAGACCATTAATTCATTTTGTAATTTGTGAATCGCAGCGCATGGACCTGGGAGAATGCCCCCAGATTCACGACTTGGCCCTTCGGGCTGACTTCGAGGCTGCTCAAAAGAAGAAGGATCACTTTTACGACATTGACGTAAGTTCCTCTTGATTACTACAATTGAAGAAAAATTCCTTTTCAATTTAATTAATTTATACTTTTTTTTGCCAGGCGATGGAGCATCTACAAAATTTCATTGCCGACTGCGACCGTCGTACGGAGCAGGCAAAACAAAGACTGGCCGAAACTCAAGAGGAATTAAGCGCTGAGGTAGCAGCGAAAGCAAATAGTGTTCACGTACTGGCTGAAGAGATTGGTAAAAAATTGGCAAAGGCAGAGCAATTGGGCGAAGAGGGTTTCGTTGAAGAATCAATGAAATTGATGGGCGAGATCGATGAATTGCGTAAAAAGAAAAATGAAGCCGAACAGGAATATCGAAATAGCATGCCAGCTTCAAGTTATCAACAGCAAAAGCTCCGTGTTTGCGAAGTGTGCAGTGCCTATCTTGGTATTCATGACAACGATAGACGACTGGCAGATCATTTCGGTGGTAAATTACATTTAGGATTTATCAAAATTCGTGAGAAATTGGCTGACCTTGAGAAAACGGTTGAGGATAGACGTAAAGAGAAACGAGATTCAATGAATGACAGAGATAGGACAAGAGATCGTGATAGGGACAGGGGTCGTGACAGAGACAGGGATCGTGATCGTGATCGTGACAGATCCGACAGGAGTCGTTCAAGATACAGGGACAGAGAGCGTGATCGCGATCGAGATCGTGATCGTGATCGTAGAGACAAAGACAGAAGGAGATCCCGATCACGTAGTCGCAGTCGAGGAAAAAGGTATTTCAACAATTTTGAAATGAACATTCGTAATAGTAAAAGTTAGTTACTAGAGTTAGCTTATTTCAGGCTTCGTACTCATCTACTGAAACCTAGTATTTGGATACTTTTTTTTAGATTTTTCACACTACAAACTACTTTTTTCTATGTTTGAAAATTTGCACTACTTTAAATTCGCTAATATTTGAAAATAAAAAAATTATTGTCAAAAATTTCAATAAAATTCTTACAAACAATTCATAAAATTTTAATAAAATTCTTTCAAACGATTCAAATATTTTAATAAAAAAATTTCCCAAAAGAATTCAATTATTTAAAAAAAGATATTATAAAATTCTTTCCAAACATTCAATTATTTCCATAAATTATACAATTTTCACAATAAATTCAACTAATTAAAAAACAATTTACATAAAATTTTTCGAAAAAATCAATTATTTAAAAAGATTTTTACAAAATTTTTCGCAAGAATTAAATTATTTAAATAATTTTTATAAAATTCTTCGAAAGAATTCAATTATTTCTGTAAATAATAAAATTCTTTTCAGGAATTCAGTTATGTTTAACAATTGTAATAAAATTTGTTGCAAAAATTCAATTATTTTTATAACTAAAACAAAGCTCATCGCAGGATTCCAATTATTTTTAATACGATTTTAAATTAACTCCTCGAAAAATGAAATTATTTTAAAAAATTTTGTAAACATTATTCAAAAGAATTCAATTATTTTAGAAAATTTAGTTATAATTTGTTTATTAGAATTTAATAATTATTTTCATTATATTTCTAATTCAATTTCTTGAAAAAATATAATTATTTCCAAAAATCTTAATGAAATTCTTCGTAACAATTCAATTATTTTCGAAAAATTTTAGTAAAATTCTTCCTAGAAATCTGATTAATTGCAAAAATTTGTCGAAATTCTATTACTTACAGTATTTACTGTTTCAATAAAATTTTCCAATAGAATTTAATTATTTAAAAACAAATTTTAATAAAATTCATCTCGAAAATTCAATTAATTTCATAACTATAACAAAGCTCATCGCAGGATTTCAATTATTTGTAATTTTAAATTAATTCCTTGAAAAATGCAATTATTTAAAAAAAATTTATAAACATTATTCAAAAGAATTCAATTATTTTAGAAAATTTTGATATAATTTGTTTATTAGAATTTAATAATTATTTTCATTACATTTCTAATTAAATTTCTTAAAAAAATGTAATTATTTTCAAAAATTTTAATGAAATTCATCGTAACAATTCAATTATTTTCGAAAAATTTTATAATAAAATTCTTCCTCGAAATTTAATTAATTGCAAAAATTTGTCGAAATTCTATTATTTTCAGTATTTACTATTTCAATTAAATTTCCCAATAGAATTTAATTATTTAAAAACAAATGTTAATAAAATTCATCTCAAAAAATCAATTAATTTCATAACTATAACATATCTCATCGCAGGATTTTAATTATTTGTAATTTTAAATTAATTCCTTGAAAAATGCAATTATTTAAAAAAATTATACAAATTATTCAAAAGAATTCAATTATTTTAGAAAATTTAGATATATTTTGTTCATTAGAATTTAATTATTATTTTCAATATATTTCTAATTACATTTTTTGAAAAAATGTAATTATTTTTAAAAAGTTTTAAAAAATTTGTTGATATAGAATTCCCTTATTTTTAAAAATTGTGATAAACTCTTTAAAAGAATTCAATTATTTTCAGTACAATTTTACATAATTACATTCCTCCTACGAACTTAATTTTCTTTGAAAAAATTGAGTTTGTATTTTTACAAATTCAATTTTTTTTTTAATTATTTTTATCTACTATTTTCATAAATAATAAAATTTTCTCAATTCAATTATTTAATTATTTTACTTTGATTTAATTTCAATTATTCCTAATACAATTTTAAATAAAATCTTTAAAAAATGCAATTATGCTTGAAAATTTTATTAAAATTTATCGAAAGAATTCAATTATTTCAAAAAATGTTGATGAAGATCTTTATAAGAACTCATTATTAAGAAATTTTCAATTATGCAATAAATTATTTATTTTTGTATTTAAATATGTAATTAAATTCTCTTTGAACTTTCTAATAAGAATTGACCTAAAATTGAATTACAATTAAAATTTTAGATAATAATTAAAAATTAGAAGCGTTATAGTGTGAATTTTTAGAAATAATTAAATTTCAAAAGATTTTTAAATTGAAATCATTGAAAATTTTAACTGTCGTAAAATTGTAATAATTTATTAAAATTTTTATTTTGAAATAAAATAATTCTATTTTGAATAATTTTCTTTAAACATTTTAAAAAAAATGATTGAATTTTGGAAGAATTACAGTTGTAATTTTCAGAAATAGTTAAATTTCAAAAACGCTTTACATTGGAATCTTTTGAAATATTTTAATTCCTGTGGAAAAATAAATAGATATTTAAATATATTTTTTTAAAATTTAATTTAGAAATTATGAAGAAATTGAGTCGTCAAATTTAATTTTTCGATAGCTGCTTTTTTGTACTATTTTTTTCAGTCTAAAAGACACTTTTTGTTACTCTTTTAAAAATAATTATCGAGTACGAAACCTGTTGTTTAAATGATGACCAATAAGGCCGAGTTGAGTTCCTTTACAAAAGTCGAGGCAACCGTCTCCTTTTGTTGAAGGACTTGATCAAACAGCCGAAGCGATTAATAACTGATACCCTCAAAATATTTGCAACAATTTTCACTAATTTTCTTCGAAAAAAAAATTGATTATCGTTTTTATTTTTAGATCGCGACGTTCACGCAGTGGAAGCCGAAATCGACGATCACGTTCACGACGAAGTGGATCAAACGATAGAAAGAAGTAAGAAAATTATTGACAGCATTAAAGGGGTCAAATTCATGTGCAGTATAAATCGCACTCTGAAAATAAGAAAAAAAATATACTAGCTACAATTTTTACACATCACCAGTTAATTTCTCTCAAACGTCAATTTTTCATTTTTTTTTCGCAAACATGTGACAAAATAGATATTTCATACTGAGAATAGAAAGCTTAAGCAAATGGCTAATCGTTGTAATTGATTTTCATATGGAATGGATAAATTTATTGATCTTATATAAATAGATATATATCTAGAATTAGTAATTTAAGAAAATTATTATACACCGTCTTTGACTACCGTTTTGAATTTGTTAGTGAATGAGGGAAATTTACAAAATAAACACTGCTGTTTATACATGGACAAAAAACAACAGGTAATTTTAATTAATTTGCGTTTCTCATTATTTTCTAAATTAAAATTTCATATTTATAGAAATAATAATTGTATAATGTACCAGGAGAAGCAAATAAAATACACATGTGTTTAAATATTATTTTTTTCTATCCTTTCTTTTGCTTTAAAATTTATTTCGAGTCTTTACGAAAATTTGAGCAATTTAAAATTTCTAATTCTCTTGCTCTATATACAATTTATTCTAATTTTTATTTCATTAGTTTCAAAATCTTTCTAATAGTAAAAATACTGCATTAGAGACTGCATTATATTTCAATGAAACCGTAAAATTAAAAATTAGCATCTTGAGCAGCTTTTTTAAAAAAATTATATTATACATTTGACATTAATTGTCTTTGGATTCGATTGTGTTTCTTCCAACATTTCTTACAAGTCGTTACTATTTTATGAACGCTTACCTTCGGTGAAGCTTTTTGTTTACTTAGAATATTTAAATAAATTCCTAATACGACAAGAAGTCCAGACCAAAAATACTGAATGGTAAATGGCTTATAGAAAAATAGAAAACTTATTATTATTGTCACAGCTTTTCTGCATGTTGTCACTGTTGCAGTTACAAATGCGCCGCAAGTTTGCACCAAAATAAGAACTATCTGGATCCCCAGGTAACCAGAGAGCGAAAACAGGAGAGCGTATCCATACGTTTCCAAAGGATGCTAAAAAAATTATATTTTTAAATTCTTGACAAATGTCAATTTTTTCGTGCGACTAAATACAGGGTTGCCACAGGTCAGGAAAATCAGGGAAAAGTCAGGGATTTTTATTAAAAGTACTGGAAAAAATTAAATGAGTTTAGAATTTATAAGAAAATTTTGAATTTCTGAAAAAACCTTAAATTTCTTCTATTTCTGACAATAATTTATTTTAAATAACTTAATTCTATTGAAGAACTGCCATAAAGTTATTACTTATAAATCATTTAATGAAGTACTTTTTTGGAAAATTTTAATTTCAATTCTGTTGAAATTAGTTTCAATTTTAAAAATTTTAACGCAATTCTTTGAAACAATTCAACTATCTTAATAAATATTAAAATTCTTTACAAAAATTCAATTATTTTCAAAAATTAAAAAAAAATTCTCGTCAACATTTCAATTATCATTATAAATAGCAAAATTCTTCGCCGAAATTCAATTATATTGAGGAATTTTTATAAAATTCATTGCAAAATTCAATTATTTTCATAAATAACAATATTCAGTAAAAGAAATCAATTATTTTCAAAATTAATAAAATTCTTCGCAGAAATTCAATTATTTTCAAAAAATATAAAAAAAACGTTGTCAACATTTCAATAATCTTTATAAATGAATAGCAAAATTCTTCGACAAAATCCATTTATTGTTAGAAAATTTAATAACATTCATGGCAAAATTTAAATTATTTCGAAAAATTTTTGTTAATTTAATAATTTTTAATATTCTAACATTTTAATAAAATTTCCTAAAAGAGTTCAATTATTAAACAAAAATTTTGATAATATTCTACACGAACATTCAATTATTTTCAAAAAAAAATTGTATAAGAATTCAATTATTTAAAATAGAATGTGCATAATTTTTTTTCGCAAAAATCAATTCTTTTAAAATTTGACATTAAATTCTTTGCAGTAATTAAATGATTATTTTTAAAAACTTTTAAATTCTTTTCAGGGATTTAATTATTTTCATAAATAATAAAAACATTCAGAGAAAGTCAATTATTTTCAAAAAAAAAAAATTCATCGCAAGAATTCAATTATTTTCAAAATTTTTAATAAAATTAATGGCAAAATTTCAATTATTTTAAAAAAATTTTCTTAATTCAACGATTTACAATATTCTATTATTTTAATAAAATTTCCCATAAGAATTCAATTATTAAACAAAAATGTTGCCAATATTCTACACGAATATTCAATTTTTTTTTAAAATAATGAAAATTTCACGGGAATTCAATTATTAAAAATATAATTTGCCTAAATTTTCTCAGAATAAAATCAATTGTTTGCAACTTTTTTATTAAATTCTTTGCAATACATTCAATTATTTTCATAAATAATAAAACTCATTGCAGAATTTCAATTATTTTTAATACAATTTTGATCGAATTTCTCGGAAAAGGTTTTATTAAAATTCGTCGAAAGAATTCAATTATTTTAAAATTTGTTGATAAAATTATGCGTATAAGAAATAAATTTTAAGATACATTCAATTATTCAATAAATTCTATGTTTGCATTTAAATAATTGAATTCTTGTATAATTTTCTAATAAAAAACTGATTTAAAAATTAATTTCAGTTAAAAAATAATTGAATTTTGGTGAAGTTTCAAATTAAAATCTTTGAAAATCTGAATTTGGTGTTTTTGAATAATTTTACAATTAAGAAAATTTGTAAATAAATATAGAACATTTTTTTGACTATCTAATCATTTTTAGAGTGATTCAGAATATTCTTTAGGGTCAGGGAAAAAGTCAACATTTTGTCTGGAAATTAGGGAAAAATTAGGGTAAAACAAAATTCAATTTTTGTGGCAACCCTGAAATAAGAAAATTTTGTTAAAGAACCAGTTCTCTTAAACGAAAATACGATTAAATTGAGATTTTGCTGAATGAAGATTTGACAAAATGAAAATCAAAGAAAATTCTACGATATTGGTTTAATAGACATTCTGCTAAATGAAAATTCGAATTTTGCACTAAACGATAATTCAGCTAAATGAAAATACGTGAAATTGCAAATTGAAAGCAGAGTTTTAAAGAACATTCTGCGGTCCTAATTAGAAAATTTCTTTAAAATATTTTTTGTAAACGGCAAAATAGCGGAAAAAAAGCAAAACCAGAGAAAAACGAATACCACAGTTAGTTTAAAATATAAATGAAAGAACTACTTATACCTTCATGCAAAATGATGTCGCTGTTGGAATATCGCCTGTAGTTAATAGAATTAACAGTAAATAAACAAAGCCAATGCTGTACGAGTATAAAACAACTTCTGTATTTGTGGCTTTGTACTGGTTCATTGCCTTTTCCTGAATATTTCCTATTAGAGCATCACATACTAACGCACTGCTAATCATTGCTACTCCTATCATGTTAAATCGAGGCGATATCATACTATCAGCAAGGGTAAATAGTATCAGTCCTACACACATCACAGTCGCTGCTGCAAAATCTATTAATCCATATCTTTTTCTTTGTATCACAATACTTCCTATCATGACTGGTATTAATTTACAGCACTTAAATATTACCTGCGACAATAAAAATTGTTCGTACATAATCAGCAAATGGATTTTTTCAAAGCATGCCTCCCCGCATTCTTAACTATTTTTTATCTTATAATATTGATGACTTAATCAATTTTCTATTATAATTATTCAATAAACAATCAAAACATCTTTCATTTATATAATTTTATGGATTCCAAAAATATTGAATTAATAAAATATATTGTTATAAATATCATATAAAATTTGCAATTACCTGGGTTGGATAATTGAGATATCCTAGCGAAGAATTCGAAAAGCCCATCGTGCCTAGTGTTAGAAATGCTAATAATAAATAAGTAGCAATGGGTATTCTTCGAGTTATTCCTTTCATTTGGCACTCAAACCAACCAAATATTGAATAATAGGCAAATTGAATGAGAGTTAGATACCATCCAAACGGTCTAAATCCGTCCAATGAAAATATCATTTCCTGAAAACAAAAGGTTCATCTTACTATTTATATATATATTTTTTTCACATTCCAAAGAAAATTAGCAAATTTTTTATATTGTATTTTGTATTTTTTTCACATTCCAAAGAAAATTAGCAAATTTTTTGTATTGTATTTTGTATTTTTTTCAGATTCCAAAGAAAATTAGCAAATTTTTTCTATTGTATTTTGTATTTTTTTTGTATTCATAATAATAATAATAATCAATAATTTAATAGAAGAAACAAGCAATGATTTACCTGTAAATATCCGTACAGAATATAAAAGAAAAATATTCCTGAACAGCAGAAGAAGAATTGACATTGTACACTGCAATGACTTATGTCAAAGCAGAGAATTTTTATCTCTCTTGAAGTTTCATATTTTTGATTACCTGAAACAAAATTTGTGAAATTAACACTGAATTCTTAGATTAAATGCCAAATTCTCTAATAATATACCAATCTAGTACTAAATTAATTGTTTATTTAAAACATTTCTATCATGTATGTGAAATCTTTAAAAATGTTAATAATATTTCATAAAATCCTTTTAATTATAAATTAGATAAAATTTCTATAAATTAGATATTAAATATTCTTACTTTTTGTATTGTCAATTAAAATACTTTTCGATTCCGAAGTCATTGTGTATTTTTGTTTATACATAACCTCTAAAATTCATTATTCCTGTAAAACTTTTATTTTTTGCACTTTATCAATTATATTTATATCTTTTATCACTGTGTAACTTATTGTATTTTATGTTCATCGACATATTTGCAGCAAAATTTGTTAAATTATGGTATTAATAACATTTTAACATGTTTAATGTATAATTTTTGCCGATTCCATTGAGTTGACTACTTTCTACACAATAATATACATTTTTGTCACTCAAACTTCAATAAACAAATAATTTATTCAATTTCTTATAAATTTCAAACTTCAAACTGTTAAACTCCACAGAATTATGAATAATTTGTCATGATTGTTTCATTGAAAGTTATATTTGCAACGTTTGCAACTGCAACGTGTACAATTGTTAACTTATCTCCTTTTCAGTGACGTATGACGTACTTAGAAAAGGGGTGCTTAAAAATTTATAATTTGTAATTACTAATAAAAACAATTTAAATTAACATTTTTTTCAAAATCTATATTTTCTTTCTTTATATTTTTTGTCATATTTGAAAATATTGTTTAATACGTTTCTAATATGTTAAATTATTATTTTTGATTTATTAACAATTAAATTAATTAATTAAAATACAAATTTTTATTATTTTTATTATAAGTAAGTAATAAATATACTTTTTAAAAAACTAAAAATTATTTACACATTTTTTACAATGCGAAAAATCTATATTTACCAAAGATAGACTTTTTATTTATTTTTCGAAGCAAATAAGAAAGTAATTTTCTTCTGTATTTAAATTTTCAAGAAAACGTAATTTTAGTTCTTATTTTTTAATTACAGTGAAAAAAAAATTAGAATTTCGAAAACAAGGCACTTATTGAAACAATCACAGAGGAAAGAAAAACTGATTAGAAATTTTTGCTCAATAAGACGATTGACCATGAAACGATCGTAAAGTTTTGCTAATGAATCATTAAAATTATTCAATTAAAATTCAGTTTTGTACTTTCGAAAATTTTAGAAAATTAAAAAAAAAATTTCCATTATAAGAATGACGTCTACGAATAGCACATCAGGTAGGTCTTACTTATATAAATCTGAAATAATTAATTCTATTTTGATAGTATTCAATTAGAAAAACGAAATAATTGAAATCTGAAAGTTGAAGACAGCAAAATTTAAAAAAAATACTACTACTAATTCCTTCAAGTCAATGTAACAAATAAGATTTTATTAAAATACGAATTTATATTAAATTATTGTTTTACAAATCGCGTACAAATCTCAGTAGTTTTTCATTAAATTATTTCATAAATAAGTACATTTTGTGAAGAGAAATGATTAATTTCACCTAAGCATCATCGAATTGACCTTCCTCAAAGGTACGTGGTATCTGCCTTCTGTCATTAAACATTTGACGAACTTGCTGTTTAATAGGAAGCGCATGTAAATCATCAGGACAGAAAAATTGACCATGAACATCCTCCACTAACGATGATTTTCTTTGCTTTCTTCTACTTACGCCTGAAAAAAGAAAATTCGATTAAAGATAAAAATTTTCTTTAAACAATATGATCGATATACAGTATAATAAATTACATAATCTTACAAGCTGGTTCATAATCATCCGTAGAATCATACGACGATTCCCAATTTTCTTCCGCGCCATTGTCACACATTTGATCACTATAATAGAAATTAAATTTTTATCAATCATTTATCAAGTCTTTATAATCTTTTTTCATTTCAATAAAATAAAAGAATACTCACAGATCTTCCTGTTGATAATCATTTTCAGTGTGATCACTTTCGTAATATTTTGAACAAGATGATTCGGAGGACTGAACCGATTCTTCTTCACGTGGTGAAATTTTCTCTTCACTGCTTCTTTTTCCAAAACTTACGCATTTTCCACGAATTGATTTTCGAAAAATTTCGTAAGATTTATTCCTGATCTAAATGTTTCTATGATTAGAATGATAATACCTCTATAAAAATATAATGCATAACAATATTTTTATTTCGTTTTAAATAAATTTTTATGAATAGGGTTGCCGTAAAAATTAAATTTTGTTATTCCCTGATTTCTAGACAAAATATTGACTTTTTCCCTGACCCTAAAGAATATTCTGATTCACTCTAAAAATGATTGGATACTCAAAAAAATGTTCTATTATATTTATGTACAAATTTCTTTAATTGTAAAATTATTCAAAAACATCAATAACTTCTTTTTTAAATAAATATTTAATCATTATTATTTTTTTAAAACTATTTCTTAATATTATAAGAATATAGTTAATGTAACTTTTTCAAAATTATTTTCTTCATTTTAATTCAATTATTATTTGCTACAATTTTTAACTAAAATTCATCTTTAAATCAATTATTTTTAATAATTTTTGAAAATGTTCTTCTTTCAGAATTTTTAATCCATTTATTTACAATTCAATTTTAGGTGAAATTTTGATTATTCGGAAATTCTTCAATTAAATATACATTAGAAAATAAAAACTTGAAATAATTTTGAAAAATTTCGATTAAGTTTTTTGAAAAAAATTAGTTCTATAAAATTTTTAATTAAAAGTATGAAATATTCAGATTTTCAAAGATTTTAATTTGAAACTTCTCCAAAATTCAATTATTATCTAAAACTTTAACTAAAATTAATTTTTAAAATTTATTAGAAAATTCTACGACAATTCAATTATTTAAATACAAACATGATAGGTAATTTATTTAATAATTTAAATAAAAATAAAAATAATTGAAATTCTGCAATAAGTTTTATTATTTATGAAAATAATTAAATTATAGCGAAGAATTTTTTAAAAAAGTTGCAAACCATCGATTTTTTTTAAAGAAAATTTATGTAAATTCTATTTTTAATAATTGAATTTCTGTGAAATTTTCATTATTTTAGAAAATAATTTAATATTCGTGTAGAACTTTGTCAAAATCGTTTTTAAATACTAGAATTTTTTTGGGAAATTTTATTAAAATAGTAGAATATTGAAAATCATTGAATTAGGAAATATTTTTGAAAATAATTGAAATTTTGCTTTGAATTTTATTACTTTTGAAAATAAATGAATTCTTGCGATGAATATTGTTATTTATGAGAATAATTGACTACTTCCGAATGATTTTATTATTTATGAAAATAATTAAATCCCTGAATAGAATTTTAAAATTTATGAAAATAATTGAATTACTACGAAGAATTTAATGCCACATTTTAAAACAATTGATTTTTTTCGAGAAAATTTATGCAAATTCTATTTTAAATAATTGAATTCCTGTGAAATTTTTATTTTTTTGGAAAATAATAAATTGAATATTCGTGTAGAATATTATCAAAATTTTTGTTTAATAATTGAATTCTTATGGGAAATTTTTATTTTTTTGGAAAATAATAAATTGAATGTTCGTGTAGAATATTATCAAAATTTTTGTTTAATAATTGAATTCTTATGGGAAATTTTATTAAACTAGTAGAATATTGAAAATCATTGAATTAAGAAAATTTTTTGAAAATAATTGAAATTTTGTTATGAATTTTATTAAAATTTTTAAAAATAATTGAATTTTATTACTTTTGAAAATAATTGAATTCTTGTGACGAATATTATTATTATTATTATTTATGAAAATAATTGAATTTTGTAATATGAATTTTATTAAAATTTCTGAATATAATTGAATTTAGGCGAAGAATTTTCATTGTTGTTAATTTTTGAAAATAATTGAATTTCTGTAAAGAATTTTAATATTTATTAAGATAGTTGTATTCTTTCAACGAATTTCGTTAAAATTTTTAAAATGGAAACTAATTTTAACAGAATCGAAATTAATATTATTCAAAAAATATTTCATTAAATAATTTGTAAGTAATAACTTTATGGCAGTTCTTTAATAGAATTAATTTATTTAAAATAAAAATTACTGTCAGAAATAGAAAAAGTTTAAGGTTTTTTTCCCTGACTTTCCCTGAATTTCCTGATTCCCTGACCTGTGGCAACCCTGAAGAAATAAATGGTTAACCAAAAATTAAAAATACGATAAAAAATTTGACAATAGAAATTTTAAAATCATTTAAGGGAATAAAATGACTTACAGTTAAATCATCAGTTGAAAAGAAATTACAATCAATGTCGATTGCTTCTAAATTCTCTAAATTTACAGCATTCCATGGTATTTCCTTTAGTTCATTGTCATATAAATCAAGTAGACGTAATTCCTTAACATTACACATGGATTCTGGTAGTCTTGAAAGTTGATTTGAATAAATTACTAATTCTCTGAGAGCTTTTAAATTTCCAATATTATCCGGTAATACAGGTATGGAATTATTGTTGATAATTAGAATTTCCAATTTTGATAGATTGCAAAATTCATCAGGCAACCATGATATACTATTTTGACTAAAATCGATCTTGGTAATATTTGCTAAATTTGTAATTAATCGCGATACAATGGGAAGTCCAGTGAATTTCATATCAATTTCATTAATCAATTGTGGATTTTTAAAATGGCATGGTACATTGCAAAAAACGTTGCCTTCCTTTTTTGTAAGTTTATCATTTCCAATGTCCAATTTTTCGAGTCTGTACATATTTTCTGTTAACATTTCTAGATTATTGTCTGTTAAATCCGATTGATTGATGGACAAAATTCTTAAATTCAGAACAACTTTATCCTTTGGAAATGTGTATTTGGAAAATTCTGTTTGATTAAAATTCACTTCCTCCACTGAAGAATAAGGTGATGTTAATAACCATCGTGGAAATGTACGACAAAGACCATTATCCATAGCATAAAATTTTATAAGTCTTTTACTACACGGCGGTTCATTGAGTTTTATACTCTTATTTAAAGAAACATCTAGAATTTCTAAATTTCTCATTCCATTTGTTATGCAACTGGGAATAATATCAAATTTATTACCAGCAATATTCAATTCCCGTAGACGATGTAATTTAGCGAAAGATTTTGGGAATTTGATTAATTTATTGAAACTTAAATTGAGATGTTCCAAAGTTATTAAAGATCCCAATTCCTCGGAGATTTCATTCAGTGAATTGTGACAAATACTTAGAGATTTTAATCGTTGATTACCGGCCAGAACAATTGGCATCACTACAAATTTATTATTGTCAATTTTTAAGTACTGCAAATTTGACAATGAACTGAAGGAAGTTGGCAATTCTTGAAGATTGTTATTCGATAAATCCAATTTCTCCAAATTAATCAAATGCTGAGAAAAATTGTTTGGAATGCAGGATAATTTGTTGAAACACAAGGATAATTCCTGGACGATTCTTAAATCCTTTTTATCACAGAATGCAGTTATGGAATTATCTAATAGTTGAAAATTCATATTAATATTTGTATCTCCAGACATTTCGGCAATATCGTCTGTCTCTATCTTTTCAAGATAGTCGGACAGTTTGCTATTGTTGTTTGTCATGTCTAAAAAAACAATTTTCTATAATAAAAACAGTAAATTCGTTCAGTTAAAGTCTTTTTATAATTAAATTTAAATAAATTCTTATTTATAATTAAACAATTAATTAGAAATAATTAGAATAATGTTGAAAACTAACAGGTTTAAATTTAATTCATATTTTGATTTCAAAGAACATTTGTTTAATTTGCAAATGCCAAAAAGGTTAGGAATCCTTTTTTGCACCTTTTTTGACACTATAATATAAAATTTGATATCATTTTACTAACCTATTATTGAATAACAGCTTCTGACATTGAACAATACTTCGTTTATCAATTAATTACTAAATTTATTATTTAAATTGGAATATTATTGGATTTACAATAATATTTAGGAAAGCCTAATATTTAATATGCCTGTATAACGGTAATATTTTTAATTGATTTTATTTCTTTTTTATTTTAACTAAACAGTTGATTAGTTTATCGGTAGATGGCGCAGAACTTTGCTTCCATGCGACTTTACCGACATAAGTTCAGTGCCAAGATGGCGTCCGTTGAGAAAAGTTGTTCCTGTTGCGCTCCAGTTTTAAATCGTGTTTAGGTAAGAAGTAGGATCGCGTTTATTAGAATAATACCAAAAAATCGTTAAAACCAATTAGTAAATGCACCGGGTTAGTAAAGTTTCTCTAATTTACGCTTTTTGTGTTTGTTTTGATAAAGTCAAAATTTTTTGTTGTAATTTTGCACACAGAATGTGAGTGTTTCTTATCGGATCAACTAAAGCATCGAATAATAATAATCCTTTCGTTTCAATTCATTTCGCCTTTAAATTTCGGTTTATTTTTCATCCTTTGATATTCTAACGATATTTTGACTCTATTAATAATCGAAAAAATTTATTCGAAATTTTGCATTTCGTGTATTTTTTGCAAAGGCAAAAAGCGCGGTAAAATTCATGAGTAGAAAGTTGAGTAAACCGCCTACAGATGGCGTCGAAACTTGCTTCTGTGCGTATTTACCGACACAATGTCAGTGCCAAGATGGCGTCCGTCGAGTAAAGTTGTGCCGGTTACGTTGCTTTTTAAAACATTTTTAATTAAGAAATAGATCGCGATTATTGGAATATTATCAATAAATCGTTAAAACTAAATAGTAGACGCATAGTGTTAGTAAAGTTTTTCTAATTTTCGGTTTGTACGATTATTTTTTATAGTTTCAGTGATCTTTGTCTAAAGTACACGGGATTGTCATTGTTGGTTGCCGGATCAACCTGAAAAGCATCGAACAGTAATAATAGTTTCGTTTCAATCAATTTCTTCTTTAAAGTTCGGATTATTTCTCATCTTTTGATATCTTAACGAGATTGTGACTCTTGATTAATAAATCAAAATTTTGATTCGACAAAGTTCGTTTTTCGTTTAGCGGCAAAAAGCGCGGTAAAATATATTTGTCTAAGTAGTTGAGTGCTTCGTCGACAGGTGGCGCGGACACTCGCTTCCATACAACTTTACCAACTTGACAATTTCACTGTCAAGATGGCGTCCATTGTAAAGAACATAGTCAGGTGTGCGCGTTTTAAACACGTTTTTTAGAAAAGAAAAAGTCAAATTTTAGACAGAATTACTAGTTTTTGATAAAGTTTGGTGAGTAAATTTGTATAAATGAAGAATCGAAGGAAAATTAAAGTGTCAGAGGAAATGTTTTCCAAGGATAAGTGTGAAAAATTAAGGATAAGGTTAATTTCAACAAAATGCAACAAAGCAAGGTTTGTGGTTCACTATTTGAGTATTATATACTTCTTGTATTTATAAATTTTATAAACAATTCATAAGACTAAATGAAATGAAAAATAAGTTACTAAAACAGCAAAATGGATTGAGTAGGTGTTTTTTATTTTCTTTAGATGAACGTACACACTGCCTTTACTTTTTTCCTATCTGGTACACTACGCATTTTACACATTCTTGTTTATATAATTCTTTTCCGTGATTTATGCAGACATTTGAAGCTTTATTTATTTTTTTTTTGCGACAGACGTATTTATCATATAGACAATTATAATATTTTTGTTGTAGTTGTTCATAAAGTTTACTGATATAACCTCAAAGTCGTCACATGGTTTTATAAAGTGTTTTTTTTTCCACATCACTTTTATATTATTTTTTTTAAACGCGGATGAAATATAATGTGCCACATAGGAATGCATTCATTTATATATCTACACGAAGAAAAATTCTCAATTTACAGAAAAATAATTACCGAATCTTTTCATAAATAACTTAGATTTATAGGGAAACGTTTTTATAAACTCTATTGAAACAATATTTGTTGCAGTGTTTTGTAAAAATTCTATTTTTATTCGTGTAGTACGCGCTAAAGAAAATTATCTGAATCTTTTTCTTAAACGTATATGACTTTATAAATAAGAAATTAACTGACAATGACATGATTTCAAGCTACGTTTTCTCCTCAATGAATGAAAAAAAAATGAAAGTAATGAGGATTCTGAGATTAGGTATTTCTAAACCCTTTATAAAAATAGTATCCAACTGTGTAAAAAGTACATTCTTTAAAATATCAATTTTTTTTCTTTTAAATTGCACTCGTTTACTAACAAATTAAATATACAAATGAAAAATAAAAACAAATTCGAGGCTTTGTTTTCCCTTTTACAAGTATACACAAAGATTTAATTTATTTTCTCACTGATTAGTATTATTCATCTCCACATGACTAAATATTAATTAAAATGATGCAAAAAAATTATGCATGCGATAAATTATTTGGACGATCGATTGAAAAAAAAATGATTAAGAGTACTAGTACACGTGAGACTCTCAAATAATTATTAAACGATATACATATATGCTATTTTGCCTAGCTCTTAAAACCATGTTAAAATATATACACTCTTTTTTTATATATATATAATATATATTATAATTCGATTTGTCTTTCACACATGCATACCCAGACTCTCTTTCTCTCTCTTTACATGCATATATCTCTTCATTTTGGTAGACGTATACAAAACGCGGAAGCCCATGTATACGAATACATATTTTATTATTTTTTTCTTTTAAAGATTTAAAACTTTATAATATATGGTCACTTGTAAAATTCATTGCTCTCATAATTCCCATTAAGAATTAAAATCACACGAAGACGCAGGCAATTTTGTATATTTTCAATAAATTTCTCTCGTTCGATCAACAGTATTTTCATTTTTCTAGTAAAACTTTACATTAAAAATATTTTCTTTCATATATTTATATAATTTTTTTTTTCAATCTGATAAAATTTGCAAATATAGTCTTACTTTCCGGTTTAAAAAATAACACGACGTACACTGTCAAAAAATGTGCTGCTCATAAGTAGTGTGCGTTTTAATCAAGCACTTATTTTGTAATGTAAAAAAATACGCATCTCTCAATTTATTTTCGAAAACAAATGTGACAATTCGTTAATTTGCTTTAATATTGTTATTGAGTTTTAAATTTAATTAAATAAAAATTAAAGCATTTATTATTAAATTAAACTTTATTTAATTGAATTTAAACTTTATTTGATTTTATTTCATTTTATTTGATTGTATTTGATTTTATTTGATTTTATTTGATTTCATTAAAAAATTAGATAGAAATGAAAAATATTTTAAATAGCAATTTCCTCTTGATCGAAAATACATAAAATTTTCTTCTTCTTTTTGTTTAATATAACACACGAGAGACGTAAGAGTAGATATATTATGTACAATAAAATTGGCCATTTAAATATACTTATATTCTGGAATGTTCAGTTGACTCTGCTATATAGTATATTCCTTTGAAAGCAGTTAAATATGTGCAAAGCCAGCAAAGCATTATGGGCGGTACAAGCAACATTTATAATAACTATTTTGCACGCGATTTTTAGTGGTAACACAGCATCATTTCTCTCTTGACATTATTTATTGACTCGTGTACAAATCGCTCTTTTTATTTTGCATCTTTCTACCACAGAAAACATTTTGGACCACACGAAAAATTTCTTACAAATTTTTTTTTCGAAATTAAAAATATTATTTTTTTTCATTGTTTTTATTTTTGAGAAATTTATAATTGTTTAATTACACATTTTGTAAAATAAATTTTACATAAATTTACTCATATGACGATAATTATGATAATTTTTTTGTTATTTAAAATTGAAATTTATGTAAAATATGTATAAAATGTGTAATTAGTTTTTTTTTGATTAAGTAACAATTATCGAAAGTAAACAATATTTTGAACTCGGTAAATATTTTTTTGAAAGTTCCTAAAGTTCTGTGAACGTCAATTTTTAGATGGAAATTTACTTCTTTGAAATTAAATTTATATATCAATTTTGCCTCGCTATACAAAAAATTAATTGTATTTTCTAAATGTAAAATTTAAGACTATACCTTTTATTGCACGTAGTAATTTTTGAAAATATTTCGTTTATTTGAACCTTTAAAACTTCATTTCAATTTAAAATTATTAGCAATAATTTTGCTTTTGACAAAAACATTTAATGTAAAATTTAAGTTTTTAATTTTTATTGCAATCAATAATTTATGAAAATATTTTGTTCAATTGAACTTTCGAAACTTGTGAAATGAATTCAAATGAACGAAATTCATTTATTTCTTCGTCAAATCAAAATTTTATTACAATAATTTTGCTTTTGACAAAAATATTATTAATTATAGTCTCTGAACGTAAAATTTAAGTTTTAATTTTTTATTGCAATTGATAATTTATGAAAATATTTTTAAGAACAAATATTTCGTTCATTTGAACTTTCGAAACTTGTGGATTAATTCAAATGAACGAAATTTATTAATATTTCATCTTTAAATTAAAATTTTGTTACAATAAATAGTTTTTCGTCAAGTGACAGAAATATTATTATTTTTATTATTATCAGCTATTTATTCATTAAAAAAGTTTTTTTCTGAAAATATTTAAAGAAAAATACTTCGTTCATTTGAATGTTAAAAACTTGTGGATCATTTTTAATTTAATTTTCATTCTTTTCCGCTTAAGTTATTAACAAATCGATATAATATAATATGTACACTTCAAAAAATTATCCAGAAACAAAAAACGATAGAATATTTTTTGAAACACACAAAAATTCACAGTACACACGTTTTAAAATAGATATTAATATACAATAATCAATAAATTTCACTTCTGACCATTCTCTTTTGCTTGCTTCATTTTTCTTTTTACTCATTTTTACACTATATATTATATAATGCAAGTGTTAATTATTATGTCGTTAAAGACATAATCAATTAGATGTTGCTTTTCTGGTAACTCGAGACAATTTAAGGCCTTATGATTTCATTTTTATACATACTTCACGCGCCTGGTAACTAAACCAAAAAAATATATTTATATTATATATATAGATATACAAGAACAATCAAACAAACAATAACAATTTGGTCCCTATTTCTCGTGTGATCGCAATTAATACAAAAAAATAAAACAAATAAATCGCTGTTTGAGAAAAAACACGTTTTTCTTCTCAATATTCAGCGAGCGACTTATGGCTTGAAATTCTATTATGCTATACATGTTGATGAAAATTATTCTAAAAAAGTCGATGTATTCGTTGCTTCAATAAACGAATATTGGCAACAATAATTCCCTGGTTGCTGAAAAAAGCAGTTTTTTTAGCAACATTTTTTTTTGTATAGGTATATAATTTTTTTTTCTCAGTTCCATAGAAAATTTTCCGAGTCTCTCACTGAGTATTGTCGGGTTTCCAATCTTCCTGTTTTTTTTTTTTTAATATTTTTCAGTCTTTGAACTGAAATATAATTTTTTTTAATGAATCGAAAAATTCCATTATCTTATAAGTCTCGGTTATTATCTTTTCATATCAACAAATACATCGAACTGTGATGCTATATATTTCTTTTATCGTTGTTTTTACATTGACGAATTTTTAATATTCTCTTATTTCCAAGATTTCAATAAATTCTAGAAAAATATTAATGCGATTTTTATTTCGTAACGCTTGAAAGTAAAAATCGTTGGAAATTTAATAAATAAATTTCTTTTGGCGGAGAGAATTTTTGTTAAATTATATACTTAAGGAAAATTGAAAACAGACAGTCGTTCACTCATTTTTCAGCCGCAGGACATTTAATCTCCTTTTTCTCTTTCTTTCTTTAGATTCGTTGATACCTCGCGTATATTATGTAGATATATATTTATTTATTTATATATTTACATAGTTCTATGGGAATCTTTGCAGGAATCTTCGTTTCCTGACACAAAAAAAAAAATAATTGAGAAGACGAAATGGTGCGGCCGTGTTCTCACTATAGCATGCAAACGACACTCTTTTTTTTTATTACGAGGTTCTATCACAGTTTCGCGTTTGAGGCCGACATTGAAGTTCGCTGTCTATCGCAATTTTTTTTTATCGTATGCCTGACCATCGTCCTCGTCCTTGAGAGATACAAAAGCGACCAGTCAAGGCCATTTTAAAACACCCGCACCGAATTCTATCTTCATTATCGCTTAACACTTATCACACGTATCTCCATATCCGAGCACAGATTCTTCTTATTCTTCTCCTTCTTCTTTTTTTCTAAAATTTAAGTCATTTATTTCGTCCTTCGTTTTCTCTCACAAATAATTTTTGTTTTGAGAAATATTTTCTTATCAAGTAAATGATTATTATATTTTTTTCTCGTAACCTCTTGCTTTTTCGGGAGTTAACGAGATTTCTCGTTTGCAAAAAAAAAAGAATGTTTTTTTTTATTCGTAGTATCGAAAACGGCAACTACAATGGCATTAAATGTATCGATGTAAAATGATGAGTGTTTGGAGCTCACAATCAGTCGAATCAGTCGAAATAGTGGATTTTTTTTTCTTCTTTTGATTCGCAGGATCAATCAACATTTTTTTTTTAAATCAATTCTCAGCATTCGGCTATTGAGAGTGAATCGATATTATTGATTGGGGCGAAATCCTTGCGAATTTGCTACCAAACTTTTTGTTTTTTCTTTATTCCAAAGAGGAAGATGAAATTTATGGTATCCTACGTTCTAGATCCTCGTGCAACAAGTTGTTGTTATTCGTTTCGTGTATCGAGGCTGGCGATGCTTCTTCTGGCTGTTCGCCACCACTTAATTCCAATTGGCCCGTACTATCGCCACTATTGGAACCACATTCTCCGTCGACGAATCTGTTGAGAAAAAAAAGAATAAATTATTTTACTGAATTTGTCAATTTATATTTTGTAAAATTATAATAGTTGGTAAATTAAATTAGATTAATTTACAAAATTGATTATTTTACAACAATACCCTTTTTGGGATTTATTTTACATTTTTTTGTTAATATAAGTTTAGGTTTGTCAGGAATTACGGAAGTCAGTGAAATTGTCGAAAGTAAAATTAGAATTAGAATTGCTAGGAAAATTCCGGTTTTTGAATTCCAATGACCTTTGAAAATCTTTATAAAAATTCAATTTTTCTTGAATTTTATTGTTTGATTACTTTTAAATTTTTAAACCAAAATTGTAAGTAAGAATCTGATAAACAGTCAAAACAAAAGTTTATCCACTGCTAAAAAAATAAAATTTTAAATTCGTTTTACTGGAATTATTTTGTCATTAGAAAACGTTTTTATTTAAACTTACATTGTGTTAAATAAATCGTTTTTTAATAACAAATTTGTAATTGTTATTTAAATGCAACTTTTAATTATTTAAAATGTTAAAAATGAACTTTATTTTGTTATGACTGTCAGTTAGATTTCTTACTTAAAACAAAGCTTTAAAGTTTTTTCTATTTCTGATAATAATAATTAAAGTTTAGAGAATATGCAACTAATTATTAATTAATTATGAGATCATTAACTTCTAACGTTGGTGAAGTTCAAAACGTTTGTAATCAACGATTTAGAAGAAAAAATAATTTTTGTTCAAATTTTTATATACTTTTGCACAAAAAGTTGCAATTTTTATTCAAATACAACTTTTAATTGTTAGTTAGTACAATCACTTTAATTCATCAAGGATTAAAATAATCCATCAAAGATTTATTTTTTCAAAATGTTTTCCAAATGATTCGTTTTTCATTTCGACATATTTGCGTCATAGAAAAAATTAATCCAAAAACTGATTATTTTAATAATTTTTAAGCTGCAAGGCTTTTTAAAAAAACCTTGTAGTTTCCCATTATCGGAGATGCATTTTTAGAGTTTAAAATTTAAACAAATAGTACATATTTCTGATGATAATTATATTGAGTCAATATTTGCAATATACATTGTATTTTATCATCATTAATTAAAAAATTTTTGATTCCTCTAATTTGAGATAATGAAACGACGATGGTGACTTTAATGTTTTGAGAGACTTAAAAAATGATTGATAATCAAGGAACCATAACGAATGTTACTGTGGCGACATTTTATCTTCTTAAGATGGAAACTTATCGTCGCACTTGCTTTTATCTTTATGCTTATGCACATGTACGAGAAGCGTGTAATGCATAAACATCATGACAAGCTCCCAGGATGTGACTTTTGCATAATATTATCCTTCCGAGACGTTGGGAAAGGTCAAGAATCGATTTACCACTCTTTCACCTCATCATTATATTGATTTCAAGTAAATTCTCGTATAAAAGATTATATTTATTTTTTTCTCACGTCTAAGTAGAAAATTAGGTTAAAGTAAACAACTTTCTTATTTGAATCAATTTTTTCAGTTGAGATTATTTTTAATTTATAGTTATTAATATTGAAACTTAGTTTTTATCTTTTTTTTACTTTCTAGTTTAGTTTTCGAATTTAGTGCTGGTATTAAACTGAAATTATTAAATTTTGCGCATCTAAAGTTTCAATATGACCATGATAAAGTGACTTATTGATTAATTGAGAAATAACCACGATAGTCCTTGCGCTCATACACAAATTTCTCTCTCTCTCTCTCTCTCTCCTCTATAATCTACATATGATTATAACTATAAATTTCCAATATTACAAAGTTGGTAATCTTATAAAAATTAATATTTTTTATTAAAAACGATTGTTTTCGTATAATTTTCAAAATTGTACATTATCAGGGTTGCCACGCAACCTGGAAAACTTGGAAATGTCAGGGAATTTTATAAACCTTGAAAAAAACCTGGAAAAGTCAGGGAATTTTGATCGGAATCCTGAAAAATTATTGTTTTCTAATTGTGTTTATTCTTGAAATCTAAATTAAAATTTTTAAAGAGATTCAATTATTTTTATAAACAATAAAACTCATCGCAGAATTTCAATTATTTTTAATACAATTTTAAAGAAATTCCTCGAAAAAATGTAATTATTCTTAAAAATTTTATTAAAATTCAACAAAGAAATTCAATTTCTTGAAAGAATTAAATTATTTTCAAAAATTTTAATGAAATTCATTTTAACAATTTAATTTTTTTTCAAAAAATTTTTAATAAAATTCTACGTAGAAATTTAATTAATTTCAATAATTTATCAAAATTCAATTCTTTACAATATCTTCTATGTCAATAAAATTTCACAAAAGAATTCAATTGTTTAAAAATAAATTTTAATAAAATTCGTCTCAAGAATTCAATTATTTTCAAAAGTAATAAAATTCTTCGAAGAAATTCAATTATTTTTGATAAATAATCAAATTTTTTAAAGAGATTCAATTATTTTCATAATTAATTAAACTCAACGCAGAATTTCAATTATTTTTAATACAATTTTAAAGGAATTTCTCAAAAAATGTAATTATTCCTAAAAATTTTATTAAAATTCAACAAAGAAATTCAATTTCTTGAAAGAATTAAATTATTTTCAAAAATTTTAATAAAATTCATTTTAACAATTTAATTTTTTTTTCAAAAAAATTTTAATAAAATTCTACGTAGAAATTTAATTGATTTCAATAACTTATCAAAATTAAATTATTATCAAAAATAATTAAATTCTTTGCAGAAATTCAATTATGGTCAAAAGTTTAAAAAAATTCTCTTCAATATTTCAATTATCTTTATATGTAAATAATAAAATTTTTCTCCAAAATCCAATTATTTTCAAAAATTTTAATAAAATTCTTGGCAAAATTTCAATTATTTTCAAAAACTTTTCTCAATTCAATCAAATTTTTTACAGAGATTCAATTATTTTTAATACAATTTTAATATTTAATATAATTTCTCGTAAATTAAAATTATTAGTCAAAAGATTTTTAATTATACCTATTTGTTGATAAAATTCTTTATGAGAGTTCAATTTTAAAAATGATTCAATTCTTCAATAAATTATTTATTTTTGTATTTAAATAATTGAATTCTCGTTGAATTTTCAAATAATAATTGATTCAAATATGAATTTCAGTTAAAATTTTAGATAATAATTTAATATTAAACTCTCTAAATTTGAATTAGTGAGTGACTTTTTTCTTTTGAATTAGCAGATTTTATTAATAAATAGTCGTTTCTACTAATTTAATAGTAAAATTTACTAATTCAAAAGCAAAATGTCAGTGACTAATTCCAATTAGTAAACATTTTTACTAATTCAAATTTAGAGAGAAAGTATTATAGCTGCTGAATTTTTAGAAATGATTGAATTTTAAAAAGGTTTCAAATTATAATCTTTGAACGTTTGAATTTTTCATACTTTTAACTAAAAATTGTGTAGATTTAATTTTTTTGAAAAAGTTTAATTGAATTTTTTTGAAGTTATTTGATACTTCTATTGTCTAATATCTATTTGATTGAAGAATTTCCGAATAATCGATGAAATTTCGTGAAAATTGAATTGTAAACAAATAGATTTAAAAATTTTCAAAGAAATTTTTCAAAAATTATTAAAAATGAATGAATAATTAATTTAAAGAAGAATTTTAGTTAAAAATTCTAGAAAACAATAATTGAATAAATTGAAGTGATGAAAGTAATTTTGAATAAGTTAGAGTAACAATATTTTTATAATATAAAATAATGATTTTATCAGTCGATTATTTTTAATTATTATATAGAACATAAAGATATCGATGGCTCCGAGTCGAAGACTTGGAGTTATCGACTTCTTCATGTTTTATAACAATTTTTTATAAGTTGTTTAATTTCAAAAAGATTTGAATTTGAATCTTTTGAAGAATTTTAATTCTTATGGGAAATTTATAATGAGTAATTATTTAATTTTGTAAAATATAAATGTAGTTTTAAAAACCTGGAAAAGTCAGTAGGGAATTTGAAATGAGCAAAAGCGTGGCAACCCTGACAAAAAAATGCACCCATTTTGATAAATAAGTCACGCGATCCTTTTTGTATTTATATAATACTAATAGATAAAAAGAAAATTTGAAGAAAAGTTTTTAAAAGAAAAACATTCATTTCTTTGTTTAATTCTTCATTGAAATGTGTGTTTATTGATAATATTGACGATCGCCGTGAAAATTCCGCACGATAAATTTCCCCGAGTGTGTATATAGATATTTGTTTACGACGTGCCTATCTAATAATTTTTTAATTAGCACAAAAGTTACATCTTCCAAGAATTTCCTAAGCATCTGCCTTGAAGAAATGAAATCATAAGCGATTCTTGACCTTTTACAATGTCTCTCATCCAGGATGAAATTGTACAAGTAAAAAAAAGAAGAAGGGAAAAAAACCGATCTTGTCCTGTCAGCACACTGACATTTATAATGTGAGCATACAATAGTATTTCTTCATTATAAAACTTTAAGAGATTGTGTATGTGTGTGTGGGTTTGTGTCAATGTTAAGATAAAATACAATTTCAACAATATGTTGCATTAATAATTATTATGCCAATGTCAACATTAATTGCACCAATGTCAAACGTAAATAATTGACTGATTCATTGCCATACAGGTATACATCTTTTATATATATACAAAGATAGATTTTTATGTATACATCATCCAATCCGAAAGCATGATCCGCGTCAAAGCATGTGTTATCGATTATTTATCAATATAATATGCATTTTATTAAAACAACGCGATAATGTATATATATATATAGAAAATGAGCATTCGCGAAACGGACATATCTGAAATTTGCGACTCGTCGTCGATAACATATAAACACGCTCACGAGTATCATTTTAACATACAAAATTTTTTTTTTTAAAGTACTCAAATGAAATAGCATAGTGCACACACAAAATTTATTACTCTCTGGGAATTATTTGCCTATTTGCATTAACAACTGTCCTTGACTTGGATTTTTTTCAAAATAATTCTTGTTTTTAATCGAGAAAGAAACGGCGTCAAATAATATATATATATATGAAAATAAAATACTTGGAGGAAAAAAAAAGTAAGGAGCATATTCTCTAAACTATTTTGTGCGAGATAAAAATTATTAACTTTTGTTGTTACTTTTTTTGTACTCGTATTATATTGTCTTTTTATCTTTTGTCTCCTTTTGAATTATGTAACGTTTTTCCGAACTATTATCTTTTTTTTGTAATGAATTCCATTCATAAAACTCATTAAAATTATTTTCTTCTTTTTTTCGTTATTATGGACAATTAATTATTGTAATGTTTCTTATATTTCTTTTTTCAATTTTCATTCAGATTAGTTCTTGTTTCTGAATTGGGGATTTTTTTTAAGATTGCAATAAACGTAATTATTTATTAAAATATTAATTAATAATTGGTATATTAATATTAATAAAAATATTCATTAGGATATTAATATTAATAAAAATATTAATAAGAGTATTAATAATAATAATTTAATATTTTTGTGTTGAACCGTTTTATAAAAAAGGTAAATAATGTAAAGTACGTTATAATAATGAACAAAACGTTGAAAGAATAAAATTTTTTTATTTCTTCAAATTAAATTTTTATTAGAAAATAATTTTGCGTTCCTATAAAAAAAATTAATTATAAAATTTCTAAATGAAAAATTTAAGCTTTTAACTTTTATTGCAATCAGTAATTCAAGAGAATATTTTAAATAAAAAATATTTCGTTAATTTTGAACATTAAAAATTTGTGGATCATTTATAATTTTGTTTGAATTAATAATTATTTTTATTTATTTATTATTTTTTTGTGTATATAAAATTAAATAATTAATGATCTACAAGTTTTTTAACGTTCAAATGAACGAAATATCTTTCATTAAAAATATTTTTAAGAATATTACCTATTGGAATAAAAATAAAAAATTTTAATTAATTTTTTGATACGTGACGCAAAATTATTGTACTAAAATATTAATTTGAAGAAGAAATAAATAAATTTTGTTCACTTGAATATTCAGAATTTTAGGAAGGTTATAAAGAATAATTAATTAATAAAGAATCATTAATGAAAGAAATATTCATAAAGCGAATTAACCGATATAGGCTTTCGCATTATTTATGTATATTAAATATTAATATTAATGCTAACATAATAAATATTAATATAATAGTAATATTATTATCCCTATTATAATGAATATTAATTAGGACTATTATTCATATTACACGGAAAGAAAATTATATTAAATTTTGTAAAAGTATTTCACAATTTGGGGAAAAATGCGACAAAGCGAAATTTTGATATAAAAAATACTAAATAGTGAAAGGAATAATATGAAATTTAGTATAATTATATTAAGGGGAGGTTCTCATTGCAAAGGCCAAAATAAACACAAACTTTGACAATTTTTTGCAAAGAGCGGCTATGACTTAGCGATGTAGTTCTTTTTTCTAAATAAAGATACATTCTTGAACTTTCAAAACATATATTTCATTTTTAAAAAAATGCAAAATGGCGGCCAATATGGCGCATCTAGAAAATAATGTTTTTTTAAATATGGAAAACGGTGGGCATTCTACACTGCGCAATTTTTAGTCTAAAACAAAAACTCAAAATTTTTTATAAAGATGACATCCTAAAGAATAGGTTATACCTATAAAATAGTTAAAAAGTTAACAAAATGACAAAATGGCGGACACATTTTTAAAAAAACTGCGTTTTTGCATTATTTTTCTATATTTGACCTCTTGTAAAAATCTCTATTGTTAACAATTTTACCATATTATAGGTATAACCCCAGTAGAATTTAGTTACCTTTAATTAGCCGCAAACCCGAAGTTGATTGACTAAATAGTTTAGACGCTACGATGCCCACCAGTTTGAAAAATCTTGTTTCGAGAAAAACGCGTTTAAAGTTTGAGAAACATTTTTGTGCAATAATTAAATTCTTTCCAATTCTTTGTTCAATTTGCGTATTTGATAAATATCTATAGGTATTTAGGGTCACTCTTTACGATTCTGAGGTCAGATTTGCAAAATTTTTAAAAATCGATTCGATTTGCCTGACATTTGTTATTCAGTGCTCGGGACGCCGGTGAGTTCAAGACTCCATAAGAACGAAAATATTCTTCGGATCAAAAAATCGCTATACACACATATTCTACATATATATAGCTTTCAAAAAATACAATAAAAAAGAAATAAATTTTTTTGATTCCCGCAATGAGAACCTCCCCTTAAATATCAAGAATTTTAATATAACTTTACTAAATTTTATATTATTTCTTTCACTTTACTCTCTAAATTTGAATTATTAAAATTGTTTACTAATTTGAATTATAGTGACTGACATTTTGCTTTTAAATTAGTAAATTTTAGTAATAAATTTGTAGATATTTTTATTTATTAGTAAAATTCACTAATTCAATAGCAAAAAGTCAGTCACTAATTCAAATTAGTAAGCATTTCTTAGTAATTAAAATTTAGAGAGTTAATTATTATATGATTAATATATATACTTTTATTATTTTTGAAAATAATATAATCGTTATTATTTTTTAATAATAATAATTATAATTTTATTATATTTTTTAATAATTGTCTATATGACTTTTTTCTCCTGTTTAAATGAAAATGATTGCATTTTCTTTTCTCTCGTTTCGATTGTTTAAGATATGCATAATATAATTTTAATTAAAAATTACTTACGTGTATGGTTGTTCCTCTCCGCGCATTTCACAAATGACGTTCGTCAGTGCCATTATGTAATTCTTGGCCAACGTTAGTGTTTCGATTTTACTAAGTTTCCTCTCCATTTTCACGTGTGGTATCACTTCCCGCAGTTGCTGGAATAATGATAAATTTAACATTAGTGATTAATTATTTTTTTAATTAATAATGTATGTTAGTGGATTTTCTTTTATATTTTCGAATCTAGTTTTTGTAAAAATTACTCTTTAAAATTTGAATTAATAAATCTTGCTAATTAGTAGTTCACTGAGAGAAATGATTCTTTGTAACTATAGTTATCTCTGCTTTAGGTATTTAGTATTTAGATCTCTACTAATTTTTATTAGTTATTATTACTATTTAGTTAGTTTCGTCCATGAAAATTACTAATAATTAGTAAAATTTTACTATTTGTTTGTAGAATTCTACTAATTCAGATTTAGAGATTTAGTTTATTAGTTAAATATAGCAAAAATTTTACTAGTTTTAGTAATAGGACAGCAGTAAAATAACCAATAGTAGAAAACTATTCTCATTTTATAGTAAAATATCTATTAATTGAAATAGTGTGAGGATGGTTTAAAATAAAAAAATATAAGTTTTTGGAATATAAAATTAGTTTCACATTTATTTAATTTGCTCAACTACAGGCTTCTTCGAAGGTTCGCCACAGACTGACTCAGTGTGTTGTCAATGTCAAGGGCACTAATTTGATCTTCGGAAATGACGTATTTTTATACGGAATAAATTCGAATTTAAATTTTTTACAATAGTGGAATTTTATTTGTTTAATTAATGGATATTTTATTGAAGTTAGTAGTTTTTTTCTTAAAAAATTAGTAAAATCCTTATTATTTAATTCGTTAACAAATCCGCACTTTATAGTAAAAAACTGTTAATTCAGGTTTAGAGAGTTACTTTTAGTAAAAAGAATCCCAATACTTTCTTATTTGTAATGAGAATGTAAAAATGATGGATCATCTTCTCGAAAAAATTTTTAATAGAGCACAGAAATTGTTTCTTTATTAATATTAGTGAAAGTTTTAGTTATCTACTAATTGGGACATTTTGCTCAACAGATTTACTCTGAAATTAATGGCTATATTAATTTTAGTTAATTGAAAATTCTTATTTTTTGTTTTCTATTTCATTATTTAGTAATAAAACTAGAATTTATTTATAAAATTAGAAATTTATGAGTTTTAGTCATAGTAATTTTTACAAACATAGTAAAGAAACTTCTAATAAATATGAGAAATAGTGATAAATAATTTTTATAATTATGATTATAACTTTTTTTAAATAAGTAAATAATTCGCTCCATAGTTGTGAATCGTCGAAATTTTACTAAACTGTCAGTAAAAATTTAATTTCTTAACTATAACGGATTTTAGTGATTTAGTGAATTTTAGTGATTTAGTGGATTTTAGTGATTAATTAGTGGATTCAGCGATTCATTAGCGGACTTAAGTGACTAGTTAGCGTAAATGTTTAAAATTAGTAGCATATCTCGATAGGAATCAGTGTAATTTCGCTAAATTCAGTTTTGGAGATGATTTATTATATTTGCTTGCATAATAATTCGATGACGAACTAAGAGGAAATCTAGAAGCACAAACACATATATGTATTTCCTTTTCACCCCCTAGTGAGGTAAAGTTATCAACTAATACGTATTTACCTCGCCATCGAAGGTAACATTGGCAAAGGATTCAGGGATAATTTTCCTCAAAGTTGAATATCGTATAGCTTTAGCTTAACTTTGATAGGATAATCTACATATATATAAATCTCTTCATTGAACTCTCACTCACAAAGTGATAAAATTTCAAAATTTTTTACACCCGCGTATAATTATGGAATCAACATGATATCATGAATCAACAAATTATAATAACCGAATTTATAAAATTTTTATGTCATTTGTTTTTGAGATCTTTTTCTCAATATTTGGGACTAAACGGAAGAGTTTATGTATTTTTAATATTATGTAATTCATAACATGAGAAAGCATTTTTTTTTTTTTTTGTAAAATTAATAATTATACTTCATTAAAATAAAACTAAGGTTTTTCTTTTTTGAAATTAAAAAAAAATTCTTTTTATTTCGTTTCGAATTTGTTTATCTACTTAATTCGTTGGTTTAATGGAGAATATATTACACAATATTTTCCAGGTACGTTTAACAGTAGATAAGGAAAACGTTTGTCAAGCAACTGGTTTCAATTGACGTAAGCATTACTTATTGTTCGAATGTGCGGCATATAGTTCAGAATAAAACGGATATAGACTTTTATAACATATAAATATGATGTTTTTTGTTTTTTCACAACTCATGGTTTATTCAACCATAAAACTCTCTCGGATTAAGTTCATTTATAAATGAATTTATTTTTAATTTGCATTTATAAAAAGAATTTAGATTTCTTTTAATATAAAGTTAAAGTGGTTTTTACTACATTCTCCATGATCATTAAAATTTTATTTCTAATCTTTTTTTTTTAGAATCAATTAAGATTTGGAAACGGATATTTCTTTCAATTCTTTGAAAGCAATTTTTCGACTTTGTTCTCTCGATAAATTGAAAATAATTTTTGGTATTTATTTTTCATTTCATAGTAGAGGTATAGTTGTCTTATTGTATAATGGAGTGTACAATATAATAATGAAAAAAGTATGCTTGAGGGAATAGAAATTTGAAAAATAATCCAGAAGAGTAGTTCTATATCTATTTTTGAAATTCAAGAATATAACAGAAGATCATAGAATAGAAAAATAAAATTAGAGTGAGTGGTAAATATAGTGTGTTAGTTTTCGCAAAATAAAATTTCTATCAACTGGGAGTTATTTTTAAATACAATATCGAAACGACAGTATAAAAAAGTATTTAAAAAAAATTTATTCGTCGCGTCTGTTTTATCTAACTCTTTGAATATCTCAATGCTGAATCATTTTGATCATTTGTTTTTCTTTTTCAATTAAAATATTTTTTTTTATATTTGCAAACAGAAAATTTGTGTTTTTGAAAAATTGTTTTCAGTGTCGGAGAAGAATTTTTGATGATGGTGATGATGATAATAATAAAATTGCACGCAGTCAAGAAGCTGTCAAAGAGTTTAATAAACATCGATTTTCTTCCGCGTTGAGATGAAGAATTCTTGAAAAGATGTTTGCATTTAGTTTAAAACCTGTCTACGATGTATAGTAGTGATTAATATCTCGTTAAATGTCGACTCGTGCTGAGCTTCCCTTTTTGTTTAGACGCGATGTGCCTCTCATTCCCCGTAATGCTCAGGCGTTTATGAAAGTGATTACAAACCACTTCACTTCAAGAATCATGTTATCGATATTTTCATAAATGTCAAATCGATTCACTGTTACTTATGACAGATGAAACGATGCTTTCTCAAAATCCTATCGACAAATCGGTGCTAATGAGCTTATAATACATGATTTGCAATTGAGCATCAATAAATATGAATAAAAATAAGTAAATAAAAATATAAACTCAACAAGCTCTTTTTAAAAATCTTCATTTTCATCATAATTATAAATATAATTATATTCCACTATACTTATAATAAAATTACAAAATCACAGGTTTTCTAAGGATATCAAATTGAGACAAAAAACTTTCGATTTTTGTCTCAATTTGATATCCTTCGAAAAACTGCGATACAATTAGAAAATTTAACGTATTATTTTTGAAACTATCCGGCTTCTCACTCATCTACTAAAACCTACTATTTACTACTTTTTGTTACGTTCTGATACTATTTGGGTACTTTTTTTTAAGATTTCATCCACTAAAAGCTAATATTTGTTTTTTTTTAGAATTTTCACTACTTTAAATTCGCTAATACTACACTGTAAAAAATTTAGGAAGTTAACGGACTCGGGAGTTGGGAGTGAAATTTTTCGAGTTAAAAATCAACTCCAAAAGAGAGATAAAATTCATTTAAAATTCAATTATTTTCATAAATAATAAAATTTTCACAAGAATTCAATTAATTTAGAATAGCTTTTTGAAAAAATTTTTCAAAAAAATCAATAATTTAACAAAATTTTTATACAATTCTGCACAATAATTCAATTATACTTTCACTAATAATGACATTTTTCATGGAAATTCAATTTTAAAAAAAAATTTTAATAAAATTCTAAGCAAGAATTTAATTATTTTCATAAATAGTAACACTTATCGAAGAATTTCAATTATTTTTAAACTGCTTTGAATATTAATTAATCGAAAAATTCAATTATTTTCTCAAATAAAATTTTTCGAAATAATTCAATTATTTTCATAACTAATAAAATTCATTGCAGGATTTCAATTATTTTTAATACAATTTTACAGGAATTGCTTAAAAAATGTAATTATTCTTAAAAATTTAATTTCAATTCTTTGAAAAAATCTATTAATTAAAAAAAATGTTTCTTTAAAATTCTTTGGAAAAATTGAATTATTTACAAAAATATTAAAATTCTTCAAATAATTCAATTACTTTCAAATATTTTAATAAAATTGTTCGAAAGAAATCAATTATTTTAAATACAATTTTAATTAAATTTTTTTTGAAATAATTCAATTATTCTTTTAGATTTTAATAAAATTCCTCCCAAGAATTTAAGTATTTACATAAATAATTCTTCGAAAGAATTCAATTATTAAAGATAAATAACAAAATTATTCCCGACAATTCAATTATTTTGAGGTATTTTAATAAAATTCTTTGCAACTATTCAATTATTTTTATAAATAATAAAATTAATCACAGGATTTCAATTATTTTTAATATAATTTTACAGAAATTGCTTAAAAACGTAATTTTTCTTAAAAATTTAATTTAATTTCCTCGAAAAAATCAATTATTTATAAAAATATTAAAATTTTTCATAAGAATTCAATTATTTCTAAATATTTTAATAAAATTGTTCGAAAGAAATCAATTATTTTAAATACAATTTTCATTAAATTTTTTTGAAATAATTCAATTATTCTTCCCAAGAATAAAATTATTTACATAAATAATTCTTCAAAAGAATTCAATTATGTCGATAAATTACAAAATTATTCACGAAATTTCAATTATTTTATTGATTATTTTTGAAAATTTTAATAAAATTCTTTGCAAAATTTAATTATTTTCCTAAATAATAATAATATTCATCACAAAAATTCAATTATTCCTAAAAGTCATAATTTTTTTTTGAAAATTTAATTATTTTAAGAAATTCTAATAAAATAGTTCGCAAGAATTAAATTATTTTCATGAATAATACAAATTTCTCAGGAATTCAGTTATTTAAAAAATTTTATAAAATTCTGCGCAAGAATTAAATTATTTTTATAAATGTTTAAATTCTTTCATGAAAAATAAATGCATTGCAGTAATTCAATTTATTAGCAGGATAAAAAAGAAGTAAATATTTTTATGAAAATTAGGAAAAAGTCAGGAAAATAAAATATAGAATGGGATTTTTGTCAGTTTTGTAAAGTTTCTAAAACGATTTTTTTTTGTCTTCAGGTTTAATTTTTCTATAGTTACTTGTTTACTACTTTTTTTTTAATTTGAAAGCTACTTTTTTAAAATTAATTATCGAGTGCAAAGTCTGAACTAAGAAAGTTTCGTTCATATATGAATCTTTTTAAAACTTTAGGGACATTCTGTGTGTTGGGAATAATTTTGTGTTTGTTTGGTGCGAGATTTTTCTTTATCTTATCAATTATATTATCATTATCGAAAGTGAAAGATTATTACCTCGAATGCGTCATTTAGGGAATGCATTCTCATTCTTTCTCTCTCGTTGCTTTCCAGCCTTCGAAGATTTCTCTCCCTCGCGGAAATCCCACTCTTTCTTCTTCTCGTCGTGGGTGGACCACCCCGATTTCGTCTCTTTGCTTGCTTCGGATTTCTCTCGCTACCACTACTGTCACTCTCCTCGCCCACCTTTGATAAAACAAAATTAGATGTCAGTAATCTTCGCGATCATTTCAGATAAAAATCTATTTCTATTAACAGGAATTTGTCCAATACTCGAGGAAAAAAAAAATTTATTTTTAAACATTGACTTTAATGTCATATTTGAAAACAGAATTAAATATTTTTTTCTCTGCAGAAGAAAAGTTAGTAAAGTAAGTAAGTAAGTAAGAAAAAGTAAAGTCTAGAATAAAGTTAACTATACATTACTTAAAAGTATAATTGCGAAAAATAGTCGAATTAGAATATTTTTGTTTTTAATATTCGGAAGAAAATATAAATAAAAATATAGAACGAAATATTCGGAACAAAATAAGAAGAGAAATATAGTTGAAATGTAGAGAAATATTTTTTTTGATTAGCGAAAAAGAACGAAAAGGAATAGAAAATATTTTTATAAATACAATTTTTGTTTGGAAAATTTTTCTACTCGATGAATTAATTTTCACTATACTGAAGGATTAATCACTCTCGTTAGGAAACTAAAGATTGTTTTTAAGCTCGAATGGATTTTTATGGATATTTAATTTACGATATTTCAAGATTAACAATAATGGAAAATTTTTTTTGAATAAATATATTCACCTTATGTCGACGCTTCTTCATCGTTTTATTAGCATAAGAAAGAAACTGGTTTTCAATAATAGTTATTCCTCGAGAGAGAAAAAATAATCGAAACATTTTTTTTTTGTCTTCTTTCGCTATAATGAAGTGATTTTAGTGGAAAATTGAGACTTACGATTAAAATAGGGCCCTAAAAAGAAAAACTGGTTCTTCGTGTGGAACAATGATTAAAATTGTATTCTATAGTTATAATTATATGGTTATAAATATAAAATAAAGAATAATGCAATTTTGAGGAGGAGAGAAAAGCTGAGGGAAAAGGTCCACAGTTCAATATCCCCAAGGACGCGTCTAGTGTATTTTTATTAAATATCCACGGGACGTCTCGTACAGTTGTGCTGAGTTATATACGTGGGCGTTATAATAGAAAATAAGAAAAGTAGGAAAAAAAAGTTTGAAAATAATAACCTCTGTCCCGACGACATGATGGCGTCCGCGTTTCCCGGTTAGAGAATCCACAGAAGCGTCGTCCAGGTCGATATACATCTCCTGATCGCCGCAGTCCTGGTCGCTGCCTGATAACCTCTCCAAATTTCGCATTATTCTGCAATAAAAAAATTATTTTTAGCATATTTTCTTTTTATATTTATTTATTTTCTTTTTATATTAAAAATATTTTTTAATTAAAGAAATTTAAACAAACGTATAGGCAAACTTTGTTGAAGATAAGCTAAAACTAAACGTTGGTAAAGTTCACATTGTTTATAATCGACAATTTAATAGAAAACATATTTTTCTATTCAAATGTTTGGCTAAAAAAAAATTTTGTAACAATATTTCTTTATCAACTATTCAAATAAAAAATATTGTGAACAAAAAATACTGTGTTTGTGTGAAAAAATTGTTGTTTTCTTCCAATTTTTGAATCATAAACGTTGTGAAATTTACCTAGATAAAACTGTTTATACAATGAAATAGAGTATTTGACATATTTTTTTTTAAATTTGATTTGACATAATTTTTCCCTGAGTGCATGTGTAAAGAATAGTAAAATTTCGCATTATATTTAAAGGGAAACTCTTTCTGATAATTCTATAATAATTTTAAATTCAAAATTGAGAATAACTCGTGTGAAAAGTAGATTTTATTCACGATTGACAATTATTTGATTGATGAATGGCACGGCTCTGTGGTTTCACTACTGGACTCTTAGTAGCAAGGGTCAGGGTTCGATTCTCCGCGACTGCGAATTATTTTCAACTCAGGATTTCTTTAATTTCGATTTGTGGAGTTGCTTCGTAAACATTGTTTTCATTTGTGGTGCTCTTTGAACGACAATATTTGACTACTTTTCGTAGAATTTTTAGGGTAAATTAATAAATTTATTAATTATTTTTGTAATTTAATTTGAATACTTAATTATAGAAATTTAAAAACTAATCCACAATATCTCTTTAAAATCTTGTTTATCATTTCCGGTTACTATATATATTATTTTATATTCTACTTATAATTTTATATTATAATATTATAATTTATTTATTATTATTATATTATTACGATATGATATTATATTTTTTGACGCAAGTAATTTTTTATTCCTAAAGTTGAGAACATTCAAATAAACGAAATTTATTTATTTTTTTTTCGAATTAAAATTTTATTAGAAACTTTTGAGGGTCATGTAATTTTCAATATACAATGAATATTTTTTGAATAATATAAAAAAAATTATTTATGGAAAAAAAATTATTTACCTGCAACAGCTATACGTTTTTCTAGAATAGCGAAAGTTTTAACTAAAACAACTAAAAATTACGCGAATCCAGTGAAATTAATTGATTTTGTATAGTAAAACTTTTTTTCCGTGTTACATATTATAGAAATATAATTAATTAATAAAATTAAATTTAAAAATTTTTTTAATTAAGAATAATAATTTTTATAATAAAATTATATTTATAAAATAAATATTTAGAAATCGAACTGTAACAGAGTTATTTCGCAATATTTCCGTTTCAATGTTTCCATATTCATTAAGAATTATCTTCCATTTTTATTTAATTTTCCGCATTATTAATAGTAATTATTATTTTCAATAACGATCGAAAATGTTTCTCTATAAAACAATTCTGAAATGCGTATTACTGAACATATTTTTCTAAATCAGCGAAAGTAATAGCTATTTTATTGAATTAGTCGTTCTAGAGGCGAATCTCTTTTGCGTGAACGTAATTTTCAATGATTGTGAAATTTCATTTAAACAAGTAAATAAAAGGGACTGAAATACAATTTCCCATGAGGTTTTCTCTCTCATTCTCTCTTTCTCTCTCTCTCTCTTTCATGCTGTATATATACTTTAACCCATTTAAGCAAGTCTTTTTGTTTTTAAGAATTTTTCTACTTTCTATACATTAATATATGACGGGTTCCACGTCAAGTGACCCAGGTCAAAAATTTACATGGAATATTTGAAAAATTTGTAGTTTCTGTAAAACAAAACGAAAATACGTTTTCTATTTTGGGTTTTGCTGCTGTTTTTCAACACTTTCTAATAGTGTGAACAAATGTAGAGAAAAAAAATTATTTGACCTTGAAAAATTAAATTAAAAAATAAAATTTCATTTTTTTATCAAATGGGCAGTTTTTATTTTTTTAAAAAAAATTTTATCATAAAGGTGAGGTTTTTTCCTAAAAAAAATGTATAGGTCAAAACGTGGGACAAGAACTTTTAACTGGTCAAATTAAGCATTTACTTCTGCCGTGCACCGTCCCACAGTGGAATTTTTTTTACAATTTACTATTAAAAAATGTCTATAGCTTACAATTTTTAACCGATTTGAGTGTTCTTTGTCTTAAATTAAAGGGGAATAAATTCTTAAGACATCCTTCGAGGCCGATTTTGGAGATTTTAATTATTTATAATTTTTTTTAAATCAAAGTTAACAAATTAATACACTTTTTTAAAAAAGGAGGTTTATTTTCTTATTCCGTTGATGCACATGATCTAAATAAATTTAAATTCATCCAATATGACCACCAGATAATTAATAAAGCATAAAATAATTTATTTCAATTGTTATAAACAATATATAGCCCAACAACGAGCAGGGGCGGTGGATTGCAGAAGTAAATGTTTATTTTGACCAGTTAAAAGTTCTTGTCCCACGTTTTGACCTATACATTTTTTTTAGGAAAAAACCTCACCTTTATGATAAAAATTTTTTTTTAAAAATAAAAACTGTCCATTTGATGAAAAAATGAAATTTTATTTTTTAATTTAATTTTTCAAGGTCAAACATTTTTTTCTCTACATTTGTTTACACCGTTAGAAAGTGTTGAAAAACAGCAAAAAAACCCAAAATAGAAAACGTATTTTCGTTTTGTTTTAAAGAAACTACAAATTTTTCAAATATTCCATGTTAGACCAAAAATTTAAACTTTGACCCCCTCCAGTTTTTATATTTGTTTAAATAAATTAATAATATTTGGTATTTTTAATTGTATCTAATAGGACTACTGTTTTTGCAAAATTTTTACCCGATCCCAAACATTTAAAATTTTGACCTGGGTCACTTAACGTGGAACCCGTCATATATAGTATACCCGAAAACCACTACGGTTTCTAAATAAATTTTCCTTTTATTAAATCTGCAAAAAAAGTTACGTAATTTAGGGATTTCCCTCTTTTTCCAGTCTCGTGCGTCTATAAATAAATATACTGACTTCTATTTTTTTTTCCTCAACTCTATATATCGTAATGTACTCTGATAAAAAGAAGTTGATAACATTTTTAATATTCTCTTTCCGTGTTTTCACAATTGTTATTATTGCGGGAATTTCAAACTTTGTTTGGAATTTCTCTATTTGTAGTTTTCGTGATTCGCGTGTCAAAGAAGAGAAAAAAATTTCTATAAAAGAAGGGAAATTCCTAATTGTGAAATATGAAGAATTTAAAAAAATATGTAATGAAAAATGTATATGAGTATAAAAAATTGTTTTTTTTACTCCAGCGGAGAATATTACGTAATGTTAGTTCTGAAAAATAAAGTGTTTATTACTTTTTTAAATAATAGGGGAAAACTCAAAATTCAGTTGAAGTAATTTAGAAGATTGTGAATGAAGATTTTGCGGAAACGTGATGATAAATAGAAATTAGAGAAAAAAAGAGGCTTTTATCGCGATAAATATATATTATATGTTGGGGGGGGGGGGTTTCTCTCGTTTTCACAACGGGAGATCAAAAATCGAAGGGGAACTCCCTCTGAATTGTTTTGTAAATATATATGTGTGCAAGTGTATATAGTGTGAATACGTCAAGTTTTATTTCTTTTAGTTCAGACGTCTCAGCAGGAGTAAACAACACTGGCGTCACTTGCGCTTGTAACTATATAGTCGCGTACATAGAGGGATTACGAGCATGTTACCCACACAGAAAGTTCTAATGTATATAACCATTAACGGGGGATATCCCGTTCTCGCCTCGAGGCCGAGTCAATGCCAAGAATTCGTTGACACTCAGTCACGTGACATCCGTGACCACGTGAATAATCTATACACAGGTGCGTTACGCATCCGCTATATGAATTCTTTTTTATAATATGTAAATGAAAACAGTAACGCTCGGCTTAATTTACACTTTTTAGATCTTCGCCTTGTTATTTTATTCTTATTCTATATTTTCAAGTCGAAATTCTCTCTACTATGCGTTATAATAAACTCATCCGGAAAAGGGACAAGAAACTTGCTTGGAATAATTGTTTGTAATTATGCTTATTGTTATTATTATTGAGGTAACACTTCACTTTATGTGCGGTCGACGGTTAATTTAATTTTGAATCAAAGCACAAGTCGTTTAATTAAATATAATATACAATTTGTACGGGTAATAAGTGGAAAATAAATCTTTGGTAATTAACAAGAATTCCTTAAAATTACGTAATATATGATTTCTTTCTGATGTAAGAAACCCTATAGTTTTTTTTATAATTCTTTATGAAGTTTTGGAAAAAGTAAATTATATTTAGATTTTACTAATTGCGAGATGATTGTGTTTATTACTGTTATACATAAAAAAAAAGATATTATGCATAAAAAATATTAGAAAAAGAAATATTAGACAAAAAATTCAATACCAGTTTTATAAGATATTCATAATTCCGGTTTTGAAGATTTTTTCCCCCCTTGCTTGTTAGTAATCTTTTTCTTCGAAAATAAAATTAGTCTTATATGGGACATCATTAAAGATGTTTTACTTATCCATAAATCAGTGATAACTAGCCTATTTTTATCTTTAGCTGATAGAAACTCTTCATTAAACAATTCTGAAAACGGAATATATAAAGAAATGAAGGAATCGAGTGAACTGAAATATATTGAACCTAATGGGATAAAAAATTTTTAATGTATGGAAAGCAAAAGAAAGGAAAGAAAACAGTTTTAAATTGAGGAAAATTTCTCTAATAAATAACAAATGATTATTGATTCTTATCAAATAAATTTTAATATATATGCTTGCTCTATTTAGTCTCTCCTCGTTTTCCTCTTTATAAGCTCGTAATTTTTATTATCTGCTTTGCAGATTCCTTGACTCTAAAAAGAAGGAAAGAACACATGTGTTTTTTTTTATCTTTACTGATAAGTAACAATTGAAATAAAAAAGAAATACTTAAATAATGTATTTTTGATATTTAGAACATATTTCACATGATGTGTATGTATATGCATTTAAAATGAAAGTTACGTTCAATATAATCAATTAAATATCCAATTTGACAGACGTATGAGGAAAATATTCTCGTGCGGAAAACGTGGGAACAAGAATTGAGATAAAAGCGTGTACACATGTAATAAAAAAAGGGAGGGAAAAAAAAATTACAGATCAGAAATATCAATACAAACATATATGAAACAAAGGAAATACTTCCTTTTTTCAATAATTTTAATTCTAATTTATGTCAGTATAATAATTAGATTCAATATTGTTATGATTATTATGAGGTCGCGATTTATGTGCGATAACTTTTGGTTTCAAAAATACATCATTTATCGTACTCTCATTTGTGACGATTTGCGCTCGTTTACATGTAAATAAATTTTCTGTCCTTTAATATAGAAAAAATAGGAATTTCACTTGTTTTTTTCTTTTTTGCTATTATATATTCGATATTAGTTTTCGAATGACAGTGACAGACTCTAATTACTCGCATTCATAAAGGAGCACGTGATTCTCGACAGTATATAACGGAAACATATATATATTCAAGGGTTTATTAATAATATCGCACTGACACGCGTGTCACGTGTAACTATCGTAATACCACGTAGGCGTTTGTACCGTTAGACTACAGTCTACAGGTATCTAATTTCCATGGCAAGCCAAATCCGCTCATTAAACGAAAATATTCATCACTATCCTCGCGGGAAAATACCTATCAAATCAATCGCGATTGTACACAAATAAAGTGTATACGTATATTATATTATACATATATATTTTGTACATTAGTGTATACATACATGAGTGTATATATACTTGAGTGTAATTGTACATGTATTTGTATATTAGTGCATATATTTATGTATATTATAAAACCACTGCATATAGTGTAAAATACTCGCGCAGCGACAACGAAGGAAATCTTTTATTTAACGTGAAAACCTGATAAGTAAGGCGAGATTAAATTTAGCATACATTTACAACTGAATGGGATTCGTGACCTTTCTATATAAGAACATTTCTTCTTATTACTTTAAAAGATATGAAAATAGTTGGCTTTTAAATGAACGAGAAAAATTAATTATATATTACCATGTGATAAGGTGAAAATTAATTATTCCTAATTATTCAGATGAATTTCATTTTGTAATTATGTATATTGTACTTTTGTCTGGTGGAAAAGAGATGTATTCTTGTGTATTGGAAGATGAAGAGGGTAATAAATTAAACAAGTGGTTCTATTTTGCAAAAAAGTAAAAAATTATAAATGAGAAAAAAAAATGTTGTTTTAATAATTACATAAAGTAAAATCAAACCTGAACTTACAGATTTTACTTTAGTTCAGTGTTTTTGGCATCAGAACCTCAACAAAATTGTTTTGTTTTATTATTAACTATCAAAGAATACAAATATTCTATATTCAAATGGAATACTTTTGTTTTAAGAAGAAAAATTGAGAGTATATCAGAAGAGGATTTCTTCTCTAAATATGAGATTACTTTTTTTATGGTGCAATTTTAAATTAAATAAAATTTGTGAGAAATTAACTTATTTTTCTCCTCACAATATTTTAGTTTAACTGTAGTAAAAATTATTTTTTTATTGTGATATTTATTCTTGATCGGTTTTACAAACCATTCTTTAGAGCTTTTTTTGAGCATTTTTACTAGAGGTTTTACTATTTTCGGATTAAATTTTACTATGCAAACTGCAAAGTATATTTCAATACTGTTTTTAAATCTGTAAATTTTAGAAATACATCATTTTTACTAAAGTTTACTTCAGAAATAATAGAATTTGAACGTAGTAAAAATTTCCTCGCCACAAAAATAGACGGTTTAGGTTTCTTGTTGACAAAATAATTTTAAATCCACCGAATTCTATGAGAATTAAACTTTTGTTTCTTTTATGTCCGAAGTAGTTAAAAATTTACTTTTAAACGTTTTCGGGTTTATGATTCTGTTACGTAAGCAATTAGTACATCGTTAGTACATAATTATATGTAGAACGTTTTTTTTAAATATCTTCTGCGGAAAACTATTCTATAGAATCAGTAGTCACAAAATTTCTTATAAAATTCATTTTTCAAGAAAAAAAGTTACTGTAAAAAATTATATAGTAACTTTTACTAAATTTACAAAAGAAAAATTGATTTTGTACTGAAATATTTGTACATTTTTGCTGTAAATTCGTAATTTTTAAGTAAATTCTACCATACGAATAATGAAATACGTTTTACTGTAGTTATCACAAAATTTTACTCCGAATGTAGTAAAATTTATTTTCGAAATTAATCAAAATTGCTCGTAGAACTCTCTTAAAAACTGAACCAGTCAACATTTTAATGTATTAATTCAGTGTCTTATAAAAATCAGTCAAGGAAAGCAAAAATGCTTTTTAATTATAGATAAAATTTTTGTTTTCAGCAGTAAGAAAGATTTTCTAGTGACAAATCGGTAATTTTTAACTGATTAAGAAAAATGCCAGTCATTGAATTAAATTTAAGGTGAAATTTTAACTGATTCGAATTTAAAGTAATAGACGCAGTTTTGGTCTCTTTTGTAGACAAATAATTAAAATTTTTGACAAATTCAATGAGAATTGAAGTTTTTGTTTTTGTGGCAATATTTCAATAGGTAATAATTTAACAATTCGAAAAATTTACTCACTTATTTCCTAATTAGGAAATTTATATTTTTTGAATTCATTTTGTCAGTAAATCTATTGTTCAAATTATAAGTAAAAAGAATTTGGAAGATCTCGTGAAACTTTTTTTCTTCAATTTCTCTTATTAATTAATTTCTTAAATATATTATTTTGTATCTAAAAACCTATTATCATTATTACATTTTCATCTCTTTCTCCGCAGGAAACGAATTATTCCCTAATAACTCTACAACTATTTAGTCTGCATTATATTGTACATATTTGTCCTTTTTATTATCAACATTTTGTGGTCTTCTATTTAAAACTCAGAGAAAGTAATTTTCTTCTCGGAAGATTACGACTTTTCGCTCTCTTAACATTTTTATTATAATAAAGCAAATTCTGCTATATGTACGCTCTTGAAGGTATTATACTCTTTAAACATATTTTAATATCAAAAATAAAATTACATTTTCCCATTAATTTTTTCGTTTTATAAGAATTTTTTTTTCCAACAATTGCTTTTGAATAAAAATATTATAATAATATTGTTAATGAAACTTTTGTGGAATTTTTTTTCTGTTTTTGATACTTGCATAACAGTTGTTGACTGTTTCACAATTAAACTTGTAACACACTTTTATTTGTATTGTGTGTGTTTTTTTTTCTTTTGCTCATGAATTGAGTATACAGAATTTTTTTGTCCGCTGTTTCAGCAAAATTATTTATTATTGAATCGATCTAAATGTTTAATGGCTTATAAACATAAAATGCATCTTGTGCTGTTACCACTTGTCAGTTGGGTGCATAAAATCTGCCAGGAGAAAGTATAAATGTGACATGAACGCTCGTAATTAAATTAAAGAAGTACACGACGTGAATATCTTTATGACGCTTCACTTGATTAATACGTACAATGGTTTATTTATATAAACAATTAATTTAAAAAGAAAAATAATTTATGCAACATTTATATTTTTTAGTGAATTTTCAGTAAATTTTCGTAATCTTTTGCTGGTATTTTTTGTGTTTGTTTGTAATTTTTGTATTTTTTGGGTATTTTCTTGTATTTTTTGGTATTTTCTTGTATTTTTTGATATTTTCTTGTATTTTTTTGTATTTTCTTGTATTTCTGAGTAAATTAGAATACAATTGAATAAGAAAATTCGTTTTCTAATGTTACTAATTAGTAAGGAGTCGACGAAAACATTAGTGGAATTTATGTGGGCAATCAATCACTTATTGAAGCAAATCAATGAAAATTTATTCCTCATTGACCACTTAATTGATTAATTATTCGACTCCTAATTAAACTTCTGTTGTTTCATTCACACTTGAATAAATTGCGCGCAATTAACATTTTTTGTCAGAATTTTTTTTTTCTCTTTTTAAGAATAAGAATAAAACTTATCATCATGATGGTTTAATGAAATTCATTCTGGTGTATATACAAAGAAATGGAAAACGATCATTTACTGTTTGAAGCGTAAAAAAGAAGAATTCTTATATAGAGGCCTTAAGTGTAATTAGAATTTAATAGCAAGTGAAGTGAAAGCTCACGGTTAATAGGAAAATGTATTTCAGAAATTCCCATTAGAGCATTTACGGTGCAGAAACTAGATGTGTCGTATCCTAAATAAATTACCAAAGGCGTTGAATTGCATTTAAATTTACTTTTAGAGGCACATCTGCAGAGAATTTTTTTTTTATAGGCGTTTATTTACATTGAAAATGTTAATTTTCTGTTTAACGGAAATGTCCACATTGAATATATATAGTGTGTTAAAGTTTTTGATGGGAGAATATAATTTTTGCAATCAAATCGCCACCACACGGCACAGGGAAGAAATTACGTTCTCTATGTAGATGTTGCATTAAACATAAAATAACTCGAGGTCACGGGAGTGTCTATATAGGCACGTCTAACCATTACGGAGCTTATTTTTTCGCAATCTCTCTTCATTCTCTCTCCATTTTACCACCGTGAAAATCAACTCGCGATCTTTGAATTATATTTGTATAAATGTATGTATATCGAACTTAATATGCGAGAGATTTTAAAAAATGAAAAAAAAAATCTGCGTTATCTCACGACCGCGATTTACTGCCATTAACCTCTTAACGTTGAAAACAACCTCGAGACTTATGCGAACTCTCTGTCAAATACAATAAAAAAAAAGAAAAAAAAGGAGGAACTTTCCTCCTCGTAAAATACACGTTTTTTTTAATGTTTTGATTTTAACTGTTAATTACGACTGTATTCAATATAATTTCGAAAAGTTGTCTCATGGTGCGTTAAAAAGAAAGTTTTAATACTTTTATAACTTGAATTCCATAGATTTTTTTCTTATTTTGCAATTTTATGAGAAAATTTTTTTTATTAGAAAATTGGGAGATTAAATTGACATTTATGATGAAAAGAAAGTCTTAATTTAATTTTACATTTTATTTTTTGTTAAATTAAACAAAACAAAATTTTTCTTTTGAATCGGTTTCTTTTTCCTCTTTAATATTTTCAAAAATTACGGAGCATTTACATTATATTAAAAATTTAAAATAGTATTTAAAATAATAAAAAAATTAATATTTAAAAGTTTGTATAAAAATGATGGTCGATAAGTTCTGAAAGTTCAAATGAATGGAAATATTTTCGAAAATAAAAATTACTTCCATGGAAGAAAGGTTCATCTATACGAACGGCGATAAGTTTCTCTGGAAAAGCGAAAGTCTTAACTGAATAACTAAAAATTTCGCTAATTCAGAAAAATTTGTAGCTACTTCAGGTTTAAATTCAAATTTTATTATAATAATTCTACATCACTGTAAAAAAAAATTAATTACAAAGTTTCTGAATGTTAAATTTAAGTTTTTAAATTTTATTTCAATGAGTATTTTATGAAAATACTTTAAATAAAAAATATTTCGTTTATTTGAACATTAAAAACTTGTAAACCATTAATTTTTTTAATATATACAAAATAAGTTTTTAACAAAATAAGTTAAATTTTTTTAATGTTAAATTTAAGTTTTTAAATTTTATTTCAATGAGTATTTTATGAAAATACTTTGAATAAAAAATATTTCGTTTATTTGAACATTAAAAACTTGTAAACCATTAATTTTTTTAATATATACAAAATAAGTTTTTAACAAAATAAGTTTAATTTTTTTAATACGAGAAATATAAATATCGTTTATTTGAAAGTTAAAAACTTCGGAAGCATTTAGTTTTTTAGGTAGAAATAGAACAATTATAGCAGTGCTGAATTTCCTATTCATTTACTTTAAATGTTTAAATAGGACAATTTTTCCTTTAGAGTAGAATTCTATAAGCAGAAAAAATTTTTAAGGTATAAAGTTTAGTTTAACGTAAGAATAATTTCCTTTTGTCTATTACATGTGGTATAAATATTTATTTTAAATGACGTAAAATTGTTTGAATAACAATCTTTTTTTTAAACAAAGTACATACTGGTGATAAAATTTATCCTTTGTTTTTTTATACTGTTAATACAAATTTTGTATTATTTAATTACAAATGTATCTGTTCTTTTAAAAAAAAATGAAACATGACCTTGAAGTTTTTAAGCTGTTAAGGAAAATTTTTTTGTGAATTTGATTATTTTCTTCTAATATATAGAAAAATAATGAAAGTAAATATTTATTTATGGTTATAATTCAGGGTTGCCACGAGTAAAAAAGAGTCAAAAAGTTCAAAATTTTAGAGAAATATTTATAAATAATGTATTTATTTAGTAAATAATTTTACTTAAAAACTTTTAAAATAATTGAATTTTCGAGTAATTTTGGTAGCAATTTTTATAAATAATTGAATTTAAGAAGTTTCAGTGTCAATATTTGTGAAATATTGAAATATAATAATATTGAATTGTAAAATATTGTTTAATATTGAAATTTGTGAATATATTTCGTTTATTTAAACGTTTAAAACTTTAGATAAATATTTATAAATAATTTAGTGAATAATTTTACTTAAAAACTTTTAAAATAATTAAATTTTGGAGGAGTTTTAGTGACAATTTTTCTAGATAATTGAATTTCAGAAAGTTTTTAATTGAAATTTTTTAATATTTCACTTATTTAATTTTAGAACTTTAAAGAAATATTTACAAATAATTTAGCGAATATTTTTACATTCAAATTTTTGAAATAATTGAATTTTGGAGAAGTTTTTGTAACAATTTTTATAAATAATTGATTGAATAATAATTTTAATAAGAAATTTTAAAACTAATTGAATTTTTGAGCAGTTTCTATTGACAATTTTTATAAATAATTAAATTTCAGATAGTTTTTAAATTTAAATTTTTGAATTTCTTCGGGGAAAATAATAATAGTGATTAAATAATTAGTTTTAAAACAAGTATTGATGTTTTGAATGATTTTAAAAATTGAAGATATTCACAAATTTTTTATAATAAGCATTTGTTTGTGTATCTAATTATTTTTAGAGTGAATCAGAATATTTTTTTTAAGAAAAAAGTTTAAATTGTTTTGAAATCAGGGGAAAAACAATATCAAATTTTTGTAGCAATCTTGATAATTTTAAAACAACTTTTGAATAATAATTTCGAATAAACTGTAAATATTCTAAAGAAAATTTTGATGATCTAGTAAACGGAATTATTTCCATTACCTTAAAATGTGTTTAAAGTTGACTGTGAGTTGTTTATGAACGGTAGAACGTTTAATTAGCTTGGCAAGTCATCCATCGAAAGATTTTCTATCTTAAAATGATTAAAAATGTTCTAATTTCCTCGTTCAATGATCTGTCCTCGTCCTCGATAAGGTCAGATGCTTCTCTCAGATCGCGATTATATACTTGTGTCATAAACAAGAAGTTCGGATAGAAAAAAAAAATTTCACTGTACACTTTATTTGTTTAAAACAGTTCCTTTTTTTTAAACATAGTCTTTGAGAAAAAAACACAGTTCTTTAAATATTATTAAAATTCACCAATAAATAAAAAAAATATCCTTGAAATGGAAGGAAGAGTGTATTTTAATATCCAAATTTTCAAAAATAGTTCTTAAAAATTCTGTCTTCTATTTTAAAACACGCATTATCCTTTTAATTCGATGTACTGCCTGTCGTCGTAGCCTCAGCGATGAAATTGGCTGCATTTCAACAATTTTCCCCAATTCTAAAAAAAAAAATAATAAAATTAAAAAAAATTTTAAAACGCGAATATTATATATTTAATATAAGGATTGTTGTATATAAGCTATCAAAAAAATTTATATATAGCAATTTTTCGACAATCTCGTTAAATTTAACACCCATTCGAGTGCAAGGTTCATGTATGATTAGTTTATCAGACGAGAGAGTTTCGAGAAATTTCGATTAGGTACTTTGCAAATAAATCTGCATTAATATTCGAATTTGATCCACTTGCTTGTTTGTTTGATAAAGTATCAACAAAACATTCTCAAGGTTGTTCGAGGTTTTTTTTTCTTTTTTATTAAATATTATATAAATCATTTACGATTTTTAATTAAAATGGTGTTTTTTATGATTTGTTTATTCAATTTTTAATGAATTGTTTGTATTTTGAGTTTGAAAAAAAAGAAAAGAAATATATACTGCAATGAATTGAAATTGAGTGAAAACTTGTTACAAGAAACAAAAACTTTGTAAGTCTTAATTAATGAGTATATGGCAGTCTCGATATGAATTCATGAATGAAAAGAGATTCTCATGTATGAATCGCGGGAATCAACAGTCTCTGATTGCAGACAACTCGGCTGTGAATCCGCCTTTTGCTGCCTCGAGAGAAAATTAAAGTTCCCAGAAAAAAAGTTTAGGAATCAGGAAATTAGTAGGTTGAATTGTGAAAACCTTTCGAAATGATATATTATTTAGGCACTTGCTACTGATACTGAACATTTTTTTTGTTTATTGTTATTAATTATTTTTTGATATTATTATATTATTATTATTATCATCATTAACATTTTTATTTTTATTAATATTATAATAATAATAATAATTATTATTATTAATATTTATACTATTTTTATTATGTCAGAAAATAGATTTTTTTATTAGTTTCGAATTAAATTTCTATTTAAAATTAAATTTAAATTAAATAAAATTAAATAAAATCAAATAAAAATTGAATTAAATTCAATTTACAATTCAACTAATTATATTGTAATTTTTAACCGATACTTTATTTTTCAGGTGCATTGGACTCATGATAAGTCGAAAAACTGAGTTTTCAAAAGGAGATAATCAACGTAAATTGTAAGTTAATGAAAAAAATTATTATTTTTTATACACAAAAAAAAGACGAACATTAAATTTTTGCTCTTACTTTTATTGTATATGATAAAAACGAGGATAAAAATTTCTGAACAAAAATTCTCGTTTGAAAACTGAGACTTGGGGAAGAAATGTTCATAAAAAGGGAAAAATTTTTCATTTTGAAAATATTTATAAAATAATTAAGGAATAGTTTACAATTCGTTATAATCTATTTACAGCATTTTTTTTTTGGTGTTTTTTTAATAACATTTTCTATAAACAATTATTAATATTCAAAATTTGAAAAAATTATTATAGAATCGAAAAATTGGAGCATTTTTCAATTATATTTAATTAAAATAGAAAATTTTTAGCGTTGATGTAAAATAAATTACAAGTTTCAGTAACACGTTTGTTTGACGTTCCCATCAATTGAGTGTAAAACTGACTGGAAAAAAATTCGTTTTAAATTATTTGACACTTTATTGACGGAGTAAAAATGACGTTTTACACAATGGTGTGATAAAAGGTGGATTTTTTTTTTTTGAAAAGTTAAAAAACTTTTCTAAATTTTTTTTTGAATATATTTTTAAAAATGATGGTTTTTTCTTTTAAATAAAATACAGAAGAATATTTAACTTTGACAGGAAAGCATTTTGTGAAAATTTGTCAATTTTGTGAAAAGCGTGAAATGAGTGCGCTTTTTTGTTCGACCATCAAAATTTGGGTTTGTTCGAAAAAAAAGAATGGATTTTTTCTGCCTTGAATAAAAGCGAAAAATGGTTTTAAGCATTTTGAAATTATTAACAGTTTGGGAAACAAAGGATCAAAATTTTGATTTTATTTATTTATTTATTTATTTATCAAAATACATCCCCGCGGTCCTACAAAGAACCATAAATGGGTTACAAAAGAAAAAATAGAATTGAACAAAAAAATGTGTTTATAGAAAAGCTAGTACAAAAAGCACAACAATTTGATTTTGTTAATTGTTTTAGAAATAACCTAGAGAGCCTCGGACAAAGTTTCTTATCAAATGTTTATCAATTAATAATGAGGGATTTATTGTTGAGTAGCAGCGGCGACTTTTTGATAAGAGAAACTGAAATAAGTGACCAATTAATGAAGGATTATTATATCAGTAAATAAGAGAAAGGACTATTGACACTATAAACGATTTGCTTTTATAGAAAATAGATCATTGCAATTTGTTAACATGAAGCATAATGAAGATCAGTTTGAGAGATTGCAGAATTCAAGTGACATTTATGTCATATATTCATTTATGGATCGTAGAACTTTTTTTAGATATTATAATAAGAATGTGAAAGTATAAAATAGGAAAGTTAGTTACTTAAAGTTAATTAATTAATTAATTAATTAAATCAAATTAAATTGAATAATAAAATTGATTGGTAGAAATATTTATTTACAAATCAATTAAATTTTTTGAATTATTTCCTTTTTTCATTTATTCGAATTTTTCATTTACACACGTAACACTTAAAAAACAACTTTCGTTCTTTATTTTTATTTTTAATTAGTATTTATCACATTAATTATCCAAATTGATAATATAGTTACAAATTTATTATTTTTCTCCTTTTTGTAAAAAAAAAAACGAAAGAAACAAGTGAACTTCATGGTCATCGAGTAGGATAAGCTTTTGCAAAAGTTGCATAACTGATAATAGGAAGTTTTGTTTGATCGTAGCTGTTTATACTATTCTTAATCAATCACGTATCAGGAAACAGTATTTAATTCTTCAGCTTGTCTGTCACATCGTTTTTTTTTCTCTTTAATTCTCGAAACAATATTTCACTATAGATTCTTTTTATTCTCTTGATTCTCTCGAGTTATTTAAATAATCTACGGAGATTGTTTTTTTTTTGTGAAGTTAAAAGTTACGAAAATAATTTGTAATGATAAATAAGTTATTGATAAAAATTGTACTTCGTTCGAATCGTATCTTCAAAATAAAAGTGAATTGCGTTTGTTTTCTCTAATATTTTGAATTTGTTTTTTTAGAAATTAAAAATTTTCTGTGTATTTCAAATTCGGTGTACAATAAATAAATGCGGAATTTCTATTTTTTGATGGTTAATTATATTTTATCTTCTATTATTTTCTTTAAATACTCTTTTCTTTATTACGTTTTTGATATTTTTTTCTTTTATTCATAATATTCTTTTTTTTTTTTGTTCTGGGAAATTTATTTTGTATTTTCGATTAAAAAACTTTGTGAGGGAAATAATCGTAAAAATTTGTCCTCTTCTTTTTTCTCGGGTTTTTATTTTTTCGAGTTGTATTACTCGCAGGGGTACATTTTCTCCAAATCATGCAATTTATATCACTCAAGGAGAAAAAATCAATAATCCAGGAAACTTATTTCAATTTCGGACCTCTATAAATCAGGATTTCATTTCAAATATCTCCCCTTGAAAGATTAGGATTTACATAAGAAATGGCCTTGTTAAAAATTATAGATCCAAATTATTGAGTTTAGTTGAAAATTGATGAATTGTTTATATATGAAGATTGTTACATGATTGCCCTGCTTCAATCTCTCGCTAAAACACTGTTATTTTCTCTAATCCCGTCAAGACTCAGGAAATCATGTTTTACTTGTGGAAAATATCTGTCGAGTGGAAAAAGAATGGAAAAAAAGGATTTTTTTTTTAAATCTGTCAATTGTATTTGGGATTATTTGGAAAATAATAGAATCGAAATTTGAAAATAGAGAAGTAATTATTAAAAATAATTTTTGTCTTCAATTCTGTTTTTTTTTCAATAAAAGTGCGCAGGGAAAATATTCAGGAAGATTTTGAAGTAGCATTTTGATCGTAGCGCGTCGTTTTTAGCATGGCCGAGTGAATACATTAATTCTAGCCGTGAGGTTAGTTATTTGCTCGGAGAAAGTGACTGTGTGCGAGAAATTTGTAATCCGGGTTCTCTGACAATGGCTGATCGAAGCGAGCAACAACATATGGGATTAAAATGCCGTGAGTGGAATGTCGAATCATGAAAGAAAAGACAAAATCAAAAAAATGAAATAAAATAACACTTGAAAATAAAATTTAGTTTTGAAAAATAATTTTTACTCAAAAGAATTGATAATATATATATATATATACACACACGGGGTCACTAAACTGTTTAACGCCACACAAGATTGCGATGGGGATTCTCAGGATCACCGGGGAATCCCATTGGCAATCTTGGCATAAATATCGTGCAACCAGTTTTACGGTCGTGAAAAAAATAACTGTCTTCATATATAAATAAATACATATTTTTTATCTATGAAAAAAAATGTTTATTTATATTTAGAGACAATTCAGACGGAAATAGAACAATTTGTTGTTTGACAAATGGAAAAATAGTTGAAAATTTTGTTTACGATTAAATAATGTAAATTTACTTCATTTGTGAATTTACTTTATTTTTTAATAAAATGAAAATTTACTTTATTCACGAAATAGAATTTATTTTATTTTTGTAGAAAATGTGTTCCTAAAGTTCTGAGCGTTCGAACAAACGAAATTTATTCGTTTCTTTGAAATTAAAATTTTATTAGAATTATTTTTTGTCACGTGTCAAAAATATAATTAGAAACGTTTTTTAGTGTTGAATTGAAGTTTTTTTTGTGTTTTTATTACAATCGGTAATTTATGAAAATATTTTCAATGACAAATATTTTGTTCGTTTGAACGTTAAAAACTTGTTGATTAGTAACAATGAAAATTTACTTTATACATTTAAATAAAGTCAAAATTTACTTAATTTTTAAATAAAATGAAAATTTACTTTTGAATAAAATAAAAATTTACTTTTGAATGAAATGAAAATTTACTTTATTTTTGAATAAAATGTGTTCCTAAAGTTCTAAACGTTTTCACGTGAACGAAATTTATGTATTTCTTGTTCAAACAAAAGTTTATTAGAATAATGTTTCGTCACTTGTCAAAACAATTATAAATACAAAGTTTCTAAGAGTTAAATTTAAGTTTTTAGTTTCTACTGCAATCAGAAATTTATGAAAATATTTTTAATGAAGAATATTTCTTTGAATTGAACGTTCAAACTTGCGGATCATAATAGGAAATTTACTTCATTGTCAAATGAAATAAAAATTAAGTTTATTTTTGAATAAAATAAAAATTCATTTTACTTATTTTGAAATAAAAGAAAAAGTGTTGTTTGCAAAATGGTTTTATACGATAATTATCGAATTCAAGTTAAGTTATGATAAGTGAAAAATATTGAAATAAAATTGCATGCTCTCCAAATTTAATTTAGTGAAATGTCGTCCAGTAATTCAAATTAGTCAAATTTTCTACTAATTTTTAATAAACTTTAATTACACTCTTAATTTGAATTAGTAAAAATGTTTACTAGGATTAGAAAAAATGTTTACTATTTTGAATTAGATAACTGACTTTTTGCTTTTTAGTAAATTTTACTAATAAATCAGTAGAAATTATGGTTTATTTTTAAAATTTACTAATTCAAAAGCAAAAAGTCAGTCACTAATTCAAATTATAGTAAACATTTTTACTAATTTGAATTTAGAAAATACCACATTTAGTAGTTTCAATTCTTTTTCGAATTTTAACGAAAAATTACTAAAAAATAGTAAAATTTTTTACTAATTTAAATTATTGGACGATTTTTCACTAGTTCTGATTAGTGAGAAACTTTTTTTAAAATTCATACAATTTGTTCTTTAAATTTAACTTAGTGAAAATTGATCCTAATTCACAGTATGAAGAATTTTTACAAATTTTTAGTCATTTTTCACTAAAAAGTTTATCAAAAAAACTGCTAAACAAAATTGTAATCTCTAAATTTGAATTAGTTAGAAATAACTTTTTGATAGTAAGAAGTCAGTCACTGACTCAAATAGTAATTAATTTGTAATAAAAAATAGTAATTACTAATTACTAATTAAATAGTTAATAATAACTAATTATTAGTTACATTTACTTTCAGGTTAGGTTAAAATAACTGAAACTTTTGGTAACTAATCAAATTAGTAAAATTTGACTACTTTTCTAGTTATTTATTTACTAATAATGATTAATTAATTTTTAACGAATTCAAACCTAATATTTGTAAAAATTAGCATTACTAATGTGAATCAGTTTCTCAATTTTCACTAGATTTAGAGAATCGAACTTTTTTTTAATTTTACTAAGAGAGGAAAATATTTTTTTTTCCAGAAATGAAATTCACTTTTGTAAAATTGAAAATTAACATGAATTAAAATTGAAATCAACTGTAAATTGAACATTTAGCTAATAATTTCGATTCAGTATTAGAATACTTCCCGTATAGCTAATAATTTTGAAACTGGAGTAGAGCGGAAATTATTTTTTCAAATTGACGTCATGGATTTTTAGTGAAGATTCCGCTTCCTTGAATTGAAAATTAATGCAAATAGAGAAGGATCGGCTTATAAGAATCCTTAAGTAATTTTATTCAAATTGAATGAATTTAATTTCGAGGATGATCAAGAATAAAATGATTAACAATATAAGGAGGTGAATTGCAACTTGCTTTTCACTTGAAGGACACAAAAAGTAGAGAGTAATTATATTTTCCCTTCTTATTCGAGAAAAGTGGCAGGTTTCCTATTTGTTGCCAACGGAGCACATCTTGTTTTCTTCTCCACAACTACATGTTTCTTAATTATAGACTAACATTTTTATAGTACCGTTTCAAGTTCAGAAAATGAATTTTGCTTTCACATTATTTCTATAGACTCTATTTACGTTTCTCTTCCTTAAAGAAGAAACTTGATGTTTTACGACTACTGGAAGCATTTCATTTATCTATATACGTTTTGTAGTTTTTTTTTCTTTTCAATTCTTTTCGTGTCACACAAATTTTGATTATAAACTTTTATAATGACTTTTTGTACGTGTGTAATATCAAACGTACCGTTAATTTGTCAGCTTCTCACGTAAAAAATTTTTTATTTTCACGTAAAATATCTTCAAGTTGTTGTGATGATATTTAAAAACACTTAAGAGTCTTTCTTGTATTATTAATAATTTGTTGTTTATTTATTTATTTATTTTTTTTTGATAAACAAATGAAAACGAAACGAAGACACTTTTTTTTAACACAAAAATTGAACGCGACGTGATTGTCACTGGTTTAATGGATCAATGTGCTCCGAGCAAAGACGAACGGGTCTCAGCTGACCGAGCGCCCGATACGGACTGACTATAACTGTAAACGACTACTTGTTGCGGGTATTCCCCTGCCATCCCCTCGATCCACTCCACCATCACCCACTAGGTTGACTCCCCACCAATACACTCGTGGTACACTCGTTTTGTGCATAACTCCCTTCAAACCAGTTCCATTGCCACCTCCGGGTCCACCTGTGTTTTCCCTAATGCATTCCTGATCTGGTTCCACCTGTACCACTCGACGAGTTTCGGCCAAAAAGCTTTAACTTTTTTTTTTGAGAGTATCATTTTTAAACTCTCCTCGAAACTCTTCGCTGTTGAAGACAACAACAGGTCGAGTGCATTTTTTCCCCTTACTGGAAATAACAGAGGAATATATAGGGAGGGAGGTCACGTCCTAGATATAGACATGGAAAAGGATTTTTAATGTTTTATGAGGTTTTAGAGAGAAGTCTAGTAGGAATTTTCGTCAGCTATATATATGTTAGATTTGAGCTTAAAATCTAGACGTAATACACGGAGAGAAATTTGAACCGTAAAAGACAGTGTCTAATTCAGAAGGTTAAAAGAGGGGGAAAGTTCACGGTAAATCTGAGTGATTTCACCGAGTTTTTCCATTCACGAATCGCAAGTGGCAGTGACAGTAACCGTCAGAGAGCGCTACATCTTGTAGAAAATTATGATGAGTTTCCATTCATCGCCTAAGACTCTGATCACACCGTGATTTTACGTTCAACCTTCTCTCCGTGTATGAGGTTTTATATTGGCAAAAATTTTTTGATTATTCTCTACTCTTTAAATTTAAATTAGTGAAGTTTGATTTAATTATCAGAAGAGTTCTACTAGATTGCTAAAACCCACAATTTTTCTAAGGATTGAGACAAAAAAACGAATCAAAAGTGTTGCGAAACAACATTTTGATTCGTTATTTTGTCTCAATTTAAAATCCTTAGGAAAACAGTGCCAGAATTGAGTTACTGATAATTATTATTATTATTTTGTCCCAGGAAAAACATGAGAACAATGATTTAAAAAGTACAATACAATTCCTAAAGTTCTAAAGTTGAATAACAATTATAAAGATAAAAAATTTTAACAATTTTTGATAATACAACAGAAACAATCATAAAACTAAAAAACAGACTATCTATGCTAGTTTTAAGAAAGCATAAGTCGAACAACTGCAGATTTGTACCTATTAAATAGAATAAAATTTATTTCGACACAAACATAGAGCAGAATAAAAAATTAACATTAAAATACTATGAATAAAATTGTTAAAATTAATAGAAGAGAAATAAAAATACATATTTTAATTATTAAGAGCTAACAAATATATAAAAAGATTGAACCTAAAAATACGAATACTTTTTGCATTATAGTTACTGTCTAAACTTAAATTAGTTAAAAAGAACTGATTGTCAGATAAGGAAGAATCAGACGGACAGTCAAATCAAAAGTTAGTCCAATGTCATAATTTCGTAATTTAAAAGAAAAACACAAATTAAATTTTAAATTCGCCTCGGTGAAAAGGCGAAGAATTTAATTTTGAAGATTTAAAACGATTGAAAGTTGCATTTGAATAAAAATTACAATTTTCTGTCAATAAGAAACATTTGTTAAATTTTAGGTTATGCTACTAAAATTAGTTATTATTGACAAAAAAATTATAAATTTTATTCAAATATAACTTTAAAATATTCAAAATGTAGAAAATTAAATTCCTTACACTTCTACCAGAAGGATTTAAAAGTTTAATTTGATCTTTTCTTTTAAAATACGATTTTTTTGCCAATGAATGAGTCAATTTTAAATTAATTTGAAAGCAAAAAGTTAGTGACTGATTCAAATCCGTTAGAATTTTAACTAATTTTTATTTTGGGTGTTAGTAAACGAAATGTCATTCACTGATTTAATTTAGTAAAAAAATAGATTAATTTCTCCACTTGTAGTGCAAATTATTACTATTTCCATCAGTTTTTTTAAATTAACGTTAATATTACTAATTATTAATTATTAAATAATAAATATTTATGAATAATAATTTATAAATTTGCTCTCTAAATTTGAATTAATAAATTTTGACTATAAGTAGAGTCTTAATTGCTATAGCAAGAATTAAGTTACTGATAATTAGTAGAAATTTACTGATGCAGTTAGTAAAGTGATGGTTAATGATTCAATCAGTTAATCAGTTAATTGATTTATTAGTTAAAAATAAATGTACTTATTGGATTAGTAATAATTCTACTAATTTAAATTTAGAGAGTGAATCAGTTAAAATATTTTTACTTTTTTTTACTTCTTTTCCAATAAAATTAAAAATAATTCTTCGAAAATATTTCTTTTATACATTGTACAGAAAAATCTTGAATCTATTCCTCTTGCGTGACATTTTCAATTATCAAAATGAGTATATAGAGCGCTAAATACATATTTTATTTAAAGTGTCATTAATTGTTAGATTATGATAGGTTGCATTGTAAGGCATTTGAAAATTATCGTTATTTTTTTTATTTTTAAGACAAATTTAAATATTTTTTTCTTTAATTATTAAATATATTTATTTTTAATTTTTCTTTCAAACGAAAAAAGGGTTTAGATACATAGAGAAACAATAAAGATATTTTGATAAATAAAAAAAGGAAAAATCTTTTAAAGTAATAAAGAAAATCTTTGTTAAACAATTTCGTGACTTTAAAATATAAAACGCTATCATGATAAAAATATTAAAGTTTTATTTTGTTAAAAAAATTTATATCGCTTATTGTCTTGCATTTAATTTTGTTGTAAATTTGTCTTTAGTTTTGCACGATTTTTGGAAAGAGTATATTCAATGTATATTAGGTATTGAAAATTTTTATGATACTTAAAATTTATTAATATTAGATAAAATATAATTGTTCTTTAAAAAAATATTGATTACTCTTATGGAAGTTTTATTTGGAAAATTTTATTTTTAAACTTTTTTTATTTAAATATTAATATTTAGTTTATTAATATTAATATATTGACTAAATAATATATGATTAAATATATTATTAATTTAGGTATATAATTATATATTGTATTATATTAGTTAATGTATCAAATATATTAAAGAATTTGTTTCATTAATTTAAACTTTCAGTAAATAAATAAATTAATATTTTGAATATAAATCTAAGTATATACATATAAACATAATTGAATGTCAATATGTTTATATTTATATTAAATTATGTTTATACCTATGTTATTTTAAATAACGTCTTTTTGTCAACAAGTTTGCCTTTCGGGAAAATTTTAATCAGTAAATGAAAATTTTACATGTTTGCAGTATTTAAAAATTTGTTTGGAGAATTGAGGCTTAGCAGTTTTTATTTTTTATCGTGAATCGAAGTCATATTTTTTGTTAACGAACGTTGTTCATGACTTTTCCCATCCTTGGCAAGATAAGAAAGACAAATATGAATAAGTATGTTAAATGAAAAAATTTGTAAAGAAGCCCCCTTGTATGCATATCAACTTAGTAAGTAAATAAAAATATTGGTGTTCTCTCGGCAGGAGGAGGAGGGAGGTTCAATACATAAACAGTAAAATAATTTAAATTTCCAAAAAGTGATTCGATATTTTTTTTAAATTTACCTGCTTCAGTTTTTTTCTTTTTTTTTTGTAAGTCATTTATCCTTGAACCGTTGCGATAACAAACACAGGTAATTTCTGTTATGTGTTAAAAGCAAAAAAAATATATGGGTAGCAATATTTCTGTTAGTTTTTTAATATTAAAAAAAGTTACTTTTTTGTTTTGGTTAATTTTTTATAAAGGTGATTATTTTTACATGTGTCTGTAAGAACAATACGTTTAAATGAACGATAATTTTTATTGATGTGGATATTTTAAAAAAATTACCGACTAGATTAAATAGGAGAAACAAAATTTAAGAGTTTTAAAAATTTTATTCTTTCATTTTATTTATTTATTTATTAATATGCATTTTATAGTCGCTTCGAAACTATAAATTTTGATTGATTTGATTTAATCAAATAAATTTTATTTTGATCAAATAAATTTTATTTGGTTCTGCCAAATTCTATTTGGTTCTAACAAATTCTATTTGGTTCAAATAAACATTTTATTGGTGACAAATAAAATTTTTATTTGACTGAAATAAATTTGTTGATCTGGGTTGCCGCACAGATCAAGGAATTCAGGGAAAAATCAAGGAAAATAAAATTGGTCAGGGAAATCTAGGAAAAGTCAGGAATTTTTAGTAAAAGTACTGGAAAAAATTGAATTTTTAAAATTGATGAGAAAATTTACAGAAATTCAATTATTTACAAATTTTTTAAATAAATTTCTTGGAAATAATTCAATTATTTTCATAAGTAATAAAATGTTCACAGGAATTCAATTATTTAAAATAAAAAATTTCATAAAATTTTTCGAAAAATAAAAATTATTTAAAAAGATTTATTTAAAATTCGTCGCAAGAATTCAATTATTTAAAAAAATTTAACAAAGTTCTTGTCAAGAATTCAATTACTTTTATAATTATTAAAATTTTTCACCGAAATTCAATTATTTTTATAAACTTGAATAAAATTCGTTTCAAGAATTCAATTATTGATATAAATAATCAAATTCTTCACAGAAATTCAGTTATTTTTATAAACTTGAATAAAATTCGTTGGAAGAATTAAATTATTTTCAAAAGTAATAAAATTTTTCGCAGAAATTCAATTATTTTCAGGAATTTTAATAAAACTCTTTGCAAAATTCAATTATTTTCATAAATAACAATATTCATCACAAGAATTCAATTATTTTTAAATGTAATAAAATTCTTTGCAAAAAATCAATTATTTTCAAAAGTAATAAAATTTTTCGTAGAAGTTCAATTATTTTCAAAAGTTTAAATAAATTTCATTGAAAAATTTCAATTATTTTCAAAAATCTTTTTTAATTTAATGATTATTTACAATTTTAATAAAATTTCCCAAAAGAATTCAATTATTTAAAAAAAAAAGTTGAAAAAATTCTACGCAGACATTCAATTATTTTCATAAATAATAA